AGTCTTGTCGAAGACACCCTCCTGCAGAACCCTGCCGTTTTGATTTGTGTATATCAACCAATGGACATAGCTCGCAAGCACACCTGAAAGTGCTGGAGTTCTGCCTCTTGATTGGCAGATGCAGATTCTCCTGGAAAATGAGGCATTCAGTGATGCCGAAGTTGGCTGGTCCGATCCTCTGTTTCGACCTGCCACAGAGGCCTGGGCCACTGGGATCAGCAGTGTGCGGTTTGGAAGCGGGTGGAGGTGTGGCATTAGAGAGGTTTTGTGCATGAGCCACAAATTGGTGGTGGGTTTTCCATCACCTGCACAAATTCCATTACAACTCAGGTGTTGTGCCAGACACATCCAAGATAACATTTCGAATACTGGCGCAATATAATCGCAGATCTCGGGCGATGGTTAATTTCCGATGGCGAGCCTGTGCCCTTTGGTGCAATTCTGCCCTCACGAAGAAGCCTTGTATAGATCGACTTCAACCTGCAGCGCATGTTTGGCATTGAATTCACATGGTCCAGCATTGTGTTGTTGGAATTGAGCAGCACCACTGTGAAAGTGCGGAACATCGCAGGGGCTCATCCTCTAACAACAATAGCGCCGGCTCGCGTTAAACCCGCCTTTCCCCTTCACCCCAGCTGGCCCTTGCTTGACAGCAGCTTAGGCTGTTCCGTCCTCTAGCAAAAGCGAAGCGCGAAGACAACCAAAGAAGATATCCGTCCGTGCTATGACGCAATGGTTCGTAAAGTGGCTCCAGGACGGCTATCCGTTGCGCCAGGAGCGAGGCCGTCAAAACGATACGGGCATATACCACCCTAGGCATCAAATACCCGGTGCTGAGAAATCCTACAGCTTTCTAGGTCGCCGATGACGTTAGAGGGCGTTGGGAAACTTGCACCTGACCCCCGAAAGATAGAGAGTGTGGAATTCTCGGAACCTGAGGGAGATGCCTTGGATCGAGCAAGGTACTTTCAGCAAGCTACTAAGGCGGAAAACGTAAGGTAATGTTGTCATACTGCGCCTCGAGTCCACCTGACTTGGGCTCATCCACGCGTCCCGATTCTCGATGGACAATTGAGCCACAGGCCGCCTGATCGAACAGTAATGTAAGCCACGGTGCTACGGGAGTTCCTGATGATCGGTTTCTTGGGCGAACTCAAAATACGCGGTGCACTACAGTACCTCAACCAGAGTCCGTTGCAAGTGATCAGCCCCAAATACCGTGTCCGAGAGCGCCGGATTGACATGTTTAAATTGAACATTCTCCACTTCTCGCTGACAGGGAGGGTTTCGAAAAATAGCACACAGCGAACAGGCCTGAGAGTGGGAGATCAGCACCGCCCTACCCGCTCCTGGCGGACGCCCACCTGCACGACAGCGCTTTTGTCTATCGCCCGACCCCGGTCCTCTGCGACCACTGGAGTACCTGGACAGGTAGCGCCGTCCTTCAGCGCTCGGACTGTGTGAGTAGAGCAGAAGTACCCGCACCGTACCGCCAGATCAGCGGTTGATGCTACTTAACATGGCTTTGTGGGAGAGCTTGAGTGCTCAGTGATTGCCGGACAAACACTTCGTGAGGAAGCCACAGCAGATATAATGGTAATTAGGTTCAGCTTTCAACTCTTTGGCATTAAACGCCTTTTTTCCAGAGATGGCTCGTAATTTGCTAGCATTCGCTGAAACGTAGGAAATATAACTGTACTGTGTAAATGTGAATAACGTGATCGCAGATGACTTGCTTCTGCTAACTATATTGCCTATTGCCTAGCTATCACACTATAAGGCTCCCCCTAATTCTAGGAGACATTGAAATGGAGTATAAGGACGTGAGGAAACATGCACTAGGTCGCTCTACGCCCCTAAGCTGAGATGGAGTTGATATCTGAAGTCCAAATAAGGTTGAAATACAGGTAGCTGTTATAATAACAAATCTACGTACCAAACAGCATAAGCATTCAGGACATGAGAGCACATTAACATCGCCCGCAAAGGGCCTCGAAGGGTGATTGTGAGTTAGTGTGATGTATTTGTATTTTATACGTTGTCAAATGACAACGGAATCTTGTACCAATCCACTCTGCGTGGGACAGAAAATACGGTTGATGGATCTTCGCTACATACCCTTCTCTGAGGCCAAGCCCCTTTTTTGCACAAACCCTCCGGTTGTGAGATAGCATACTTCTGAAGCTCCCGCCTTTTGTCTCTTTTCGCGCATCAAACATAATATCTGAGACAGGAAGTTTACTATTGTAGGATATTTACATTACCTCAGACAATAAAGTTTATGGTATCTACATAGCCACTATCGACAGGGCCGGAGCAACCTCCATATGCAAACACAGACTGAACGCCACTACAGTAATGCAGAGTATTATACGGCCCATTTTCAGGCCTCAGGACAACATTGCCCGTCGTTCCCAGGCTCATCCCCGGGCAGGTAGGTCCGCAAGTAAGTTGTGCGTATACCGGCAGCCACGAGCTCGCTGGAGGAACGTAGCCGGGTTGGGTGAACAGGGCCATGCCGCCCTCGTTTCTGGACTCTATTGAGAAATACACGCGGTTCGGGTACTGGATCGAGTATAGCACGCCGCCAGAGTCCACTGTGAACTTTGTGGTCGCGTAGACGGAGCCTCTGCTTCGCAGATTTTCAAACTCCGACGTGGAGGACCTCACAACAACCGAATACTGCCCGTTTGCGCTGCCGTTACCGACTCGCGCATAGAAGGTCGGCTTAGGGCAGCTGGTGGGTACGGTTGGGCAGGCAAGGCTCGCAGATGTAGAAGTGAACGTGTCGGTTTCTGTGGCAAGGATTGTGGTGGGAAGGACGACGGGTGGCTGTCACAAATTGTGTCTCAACTGATATAAGGGTGCTCTTATGAGTTGCAATCACCGTGTCTGTTTCGCGAATAACCTCGACGATAGTAGTAGACAAGTCCTCGTATGTAGTTTGTGTGGCACGTCCACGTCTGTGTTGGTGACAGTGGCTAATATATCTGTCTCGGGGACATGGACAGTTGTGATGCTTGTATCTACATCATTCTCGGTGATCGTGGTAGGCTAGATAAGTAGAGCTCCGAACACAGTTATTGTGACAGGAGTTTGGACTACAATCGCAGTGAGTATACTGGTGTGAGTCGAGGTTGGGAACACCATTGTTGACGGGAATGAGGCACAATGCTTCAATGTTTCAGTTGGGAGTGTCCCTCTGCAATGACCTCTGCAAGGCAGGAGTCGAGATTGCATTTGGGATCATACGGATTGCCCTTCACATTTCTAACGGGTATCCCATTTGGCAGGACGACCGCTATCCCAGCCAAGAGACAAAGAAGAAAGGGCGATGATGCCATGGCGTGACAACGCAGTCAGTCACTCTCGGAAACGATGAATATAATAGGATAAAACTACGATGGTACACACATGGGGAGAAAAAGAGGGTGTAAGAACGCCGCTCCTTATTGTAGCTGGTGACAAGCCCAATCACTATTGAGCTTGTAGGCCATCTTGACAGTGCAATGGAAGCCATTATTGATATGTTCAACAAAAGGGTCCTGTCACTTCAAAAGAATTAGTGTCCAAGCCTTGAGGTCTTCGGGATCTGAAAATGGGTTGAATTTGAACAACTTTCAGCTTCTAGACTGATGTGGATAGAGATCGGGGGTCTAAGTTAATCGATCCCGACTACTCCCCAGGCTATTGAATGTAGAGCAGACTCGAGAGCGATGGTTCACCACAACCATTCGTCTTGGATGGAAACACCCAGAGGCGGCTCATAGCATGGACCAAGTCCACAAAGCACACCTCTGTCAGATCAATTGACCATATCACATGTGATGACGAGCTAAGAATTTTCAGTACCTGCAAGAAGGATATCAATCTTCATACCAGTGAATATGAATCCATAGTGGCGGCAGCTGTCATGTGGACCATGGACCATCTATCTTGCCCTAATACACTCAGGGTTCTCATGCCGGGGGCCATGATACAGCCGATACATCTTGTTATTACAGATAAGAGTCGTCGAATAGACTCAGATCGTTTACAGGGACATATGTGAGGTCGAACGAGACTTAAAGCCTAGCAATAACTCTGAATACTTAAACGTTGATTCATCAATCACACAACTACCCGACTTATTGAGGTGTACTGCCGTCTATGACAAGCTGATGTATTATGTAGAGGGAAGGTCTGATAAAGGCACTTCAACTAGCAAAAGAACGTCTTTGACCAGAGAAGCCGTGCAAAATGTGTTTGATTTGGTGCATCATGCTGTGTTGAATCAGCCGGAATTATCTGCATTGCTCTCAAAATAACGAAGAGTGACTCCTATGCCCTCGACTCGTGTTAAGTGTTTTGATTACCGGGCAGATCCCAGCGGACTCGTCATTTTTTATTAAAAAAAAACCTAGAAACAATGTGCGCGCCCCAAATTGACGCAGAGCAGCACATTCCAGGAGCATTGTGTTCAGACTGTCAAAATCCCCTGAACAGACAGATTGGAACGGTACACAAGACAGTGAGCCGTACTGTCCTTCGAGCGCCAGGGTGGTGCCCCGCCGATCTCGGAACTTTTATTGCATCTGCCGTAGCTTGGCAAGATTAATGAATCACCTTGCACCTGTCTGTACCTGAACCCGAGAGAGTATTCTATCAGGCACCATCACAACTGATCGAATATAGAACTTGGTCTGTGAAAATCTCTTTTGCTTCTGCCTGCAGGATTGAGCGATTTCATGAACCACCGAGTTCCGTGTCTGCTCCAAGTCATGTGCGGTACAACGCATAGCTCCAGATAGTGTAGCTTAGATCTGATACGTCAAGTGGCAATGTACCTGCCTACGTTACTACGACTTGCCAATAGCTGAATCGAAAAAGCAATTATCACCCCTTCCCAATCTACACTTCACAGTTTCTGCTCTCAAAGTGTTTGCGCGTTCTTGAGGATTCCGCAAGAGACCAGATCGTATCGCCTTTCGGAACAGATACCTAACCTGCAGATCACAGCAATGTCTTCAGACGTGTTTCGCAGGGTTGGCCGTGGCGGGGCTGGCAACTTCTTCTCTAAGAAAGATGTCGAAGAAGCACAGAACGCACAAGCCCAGGTTCGTCGCTTAGTCTTCTCTCATCCTCTATCTGCAGTGCGCTCAAGCTCACCATGTATCTGCGACTCAGGACCCCGAAGCGCAGAAGCCCCAGTCTCCCACCGCCGAGGCGACAGCAGCCGCGCAGCGATCCAACCCCGCGTACACGCGAGGAGGCCGTGGCGGTGCTGGCAACTTCCAGGACGCGCCCACGATAGATGACTCGATTGCCCAGGAGGACGTATTGCGGCGCACAAACGCCGCCGTCAGCGCAAGCCTGGCAAAGCCCAGGGCGGGCGGACTATCTGGACGAGGCGGCATGGGTAATTGGAGCGACGACACGGCTCAGAAGGAAAAGGACGAACAGGAGAGGCGGCGGCAGCAGGAGATCGAAGCCAAGATCGCCCACGATGTTGAGGCGCGCTTGGCTTTGCCGGGCAAGACCTATCATCAACACGACCGGGAAATGGAGTGAAGGTCCATCTGGAATATCTACGAGGCTCGAGTGCTGGGAGCCTTCTCATGCATGCCCTCTCGACTTGGTTCTGCTGTACGATATGAAGAGATGTAATGAATTGAATGATACCCTCTGAAAGTTGACCTTACTGTATGTCATGCAGAGTTTTGGCCATTTCGCTGTCAAATAGTAATTCGTCATTACCGTGCGTTTCAGTCATCGCCCAAGCGTATAGATGTACCTAAAGCAGTATATCATGTTGCGCAGATTTTAATACAGAACCAGCCACCGAAATTATATCTTAAACATTTGAGAGAATGCGAAACGCTAATTGACAGTATAGCACAGTAATGGTCATGTATGTGGTGTCTGCGAACCCAGGACCATCTCCATGAACAATCGGAACCGATAAGGCATGTAGTTCCATGTGGTCCGTGCTTTCGGCCTCGATAAGAAAAGTTCGCGGCTCGACGTCGGCTTTGGATCCTCGCGCAACCACACCACAGCCATCACTTCCGACTAAGACAAAATCCATCGGCAACATCATGGCATCTGCACTAGCTTGGGGAACCGGCCTTGCCGTCGCTGCCTTTTTGGTATGGCGCTCATATACCCATCTTCCTGCAAAGCATCATCACTGACACATACTTCTACAGGGCCGAGCAGGTGTCGTCGCATGGCGAAGATCCCGGGGAGGCGTGGGCGCGATGGGCAAGGCTTTCTACAAGGGTGGCTTCGAGCAACGCATGAGCCGCCGTGAGGCGTCACTGATCCTGTCTCTCAAGTACGTCTCGGCACGAGTTCCTCGGCGTTTCAAACACTGCTAACGTATTTTACCAGCGAGCGAACCCTTTCGAAGGAGAAGGTCCGGAAAGCGCACCGAACTCTCATGCTGCTGAATCACCCCGATCGAGGCGGCAGTCCTTATCTTGCCACGAAAGTCAACGAAGCAAAAGAGTTTCTTGAAAAGAACGCATCATGATAAAGGGACGGGGCAGCCGAGCCGCTGTTTGCGACAGCTTTCGGCTGCCGTGTATATCTTGTACAACACTTCATAGCATCGGCGTTTCTGGTTTGAGGGTCTTCAGTGCGGGCAAACTCTGTATTAAGCCCGTATTTGAGGAGAAAAGTCTTTCGACTCTTCAATGAGAGCTATTGCGGCACTTACGCCGTGCCTTCTCTGCTCAACACATCTCTATGACCGTCTCTACTTGTGAGCTCCATGGCCTGTGTCTGCGTCCTAGATCGAGGCGGTTCGTTCCGTGTCCTATAATGTACATTTTCCTACAAAAGATGCCCACAGTGAACATGGCGGATCGCCTCAAGACATTCCTTCAATGATAAGAGGTCAAATCAAAACATTGTCGTGTTCATCCTCATCTTGATCTACGGTTTGGTTAGTCGTATCTGTAACTATTAGAGACAAGTAAAAAACCTACCTGTAAGTCCTTGAGGACGCTGCCGATTCTGCAGCAGCCGAATAATCTCCTCCTGAGAAAGTTGGTTGCGTGAAGGCGGCGCACCTCCATCACATCCCTCTCCACCACTGCTCCATCCCTCATCTAGGAGAGAAGGATCGGCCCTGTAACAACTTCTTAGTAGGTTGTAGCTTGATGTTGAAGAAAAGGAACAACTCACGAGTCTGGCTCCTTCACCAGAATGCGTTGCAAGCTTGCTTGGCGCTGTCTGATCGCGAGCACCACCAGGCTCTGCAGGGTGTAAACCGCGTCATTGCCGGCATTGTGGAGGTGGCTGTAGGGTAGCTCGAACTCTGCAAGAATGCGCTCTAGCTTCTGTCCGTTCATCATTTTGCGCATGAACTGCTGGAGCCCTTGATTGTCGACAATCTCCAGGATGTTCCACATCTTGTCGACGTCAATGCCGACCTTCGATAGATGGACAATGTCATGCTGCACATCATGACCAACCAATATGACAGGACGCCTATCCCTATATGGGAAGGTAGTCTGTGACAGGATCTCCTCAATCACTCTGCGCACTTGACTCAGCGAAACAAACTCGGATTCACTTGGTTATGGTTAGTTATATATTGAAACGCAGTGAGCAGCACGACGAACCCGAAGTTGAAGTAGTCGGGGCAGCCCTTGACATACTCGGTATTGACCATGTACGTGCGCTCCTTGATGCGTAGATGCCGGCCCTGGATCTTCTGGAACCAATTCTTCCCGTCTTCTCCGGGGGGGAGGCCGGCGAGGTCCTTGGTGTCGAGAATGCCGAAGCCGACTTCAGTCACGATGTTCTGGTTCTTCTCATACGTCTCGCAGTCCACACAGATAAACACGACAAAATCCTCCGGCCAAAAGGGAGCGAGGGCGTCAAGATTGAGCTCGGTCATCTGAGTCTTCTGCCCCGTAGACACTGCGCAAGTTTAGCATTTTAGAGGAACAATCAAGGTGCGCATATCCATACCAGTGAAGTCTTCCGTATCAGAACGCTTCTTCCGCAGACCTAAGTATCGCTGGACTCGTTTTGTTGTGTGGCCCCAGCCCTTGTGCATTGCGGCCCGCATCACTTGTTTGTGTGATGGTTTGCTGCTCTTCCTTGGCTGCTCTTCGATAGACGCCTTCATGGCCTTCCAGATGTCTTGGAAGAGCTTATGATCCAGTCCTGCCAGTTTATTCGCGTTGTCCTCAGGATGTGGAGACGGCATATTCTGGATGAGGGCGCCAAAGGCGTAAGGATCCGTGGCCTGGCCCAGGTAGCGTGGGCGAGGGCTGTATTCACCCTGTAACTGCGCGAAGGATATATTGAATTTGGCAGACTGATCCCCTGCAGGGATAGCGAGGTTGATGCCTTGCTCATCGTTGATGGTCTGGAGGAAATGACGGAACTGCGAAGTCAGAAGGAGCAAGAATGGCTTGCCGCTTTGGTCAGCTGCGTTGTAAAGGTAGAAGAAATCCCATTTCTGGGCACTCAGGAATGCCTCTTGCTTGAAGTACGGTCTGACAATAGGCGTATTCGCTTTGCCGACGTACAAGTCGACATAGCGCGACACAAATCTCAACGGGCAGAAGAAAGAAGTGGGATCCCTCTCTACACGGTCTCCCTTCCTATAGCCTAGATCTGGGAAATCCGCCTCGATGTCCTTTAAAATCTGGAGAGCATTTGGAGGCACCTCCGAAAGATTATGGAACGTGAGATAAGGATGAGATGAGTTGGCTTGCGTTCTACCCGAACCACTCGAATGGGAATGATTTTGCTGGCCCCTATGGCTTGTGTTATACTCAATCTCGGGGTCCTGGCCTTGTTGGTGAATGCGAATTTGAGGCAGCGCCGAAGGCTGATCAGTCTGGATCGCCATGGAAGATGTGTCATCAGAAGCATTATCGGACAAGTCTGCTGGCTGCTCCATGAGGTCCATTTCTGCCACCAACTCCTCCAAATACTGAAGATCAGAGCCAGACATGGGAGCTCTGCAGCTGCGATCACTGCGATCACACGTTTGACGATATTGCTTTAGAAGAAGACGCGTGAGAGGGCGATTTTGGGTACTCTGCAGAAATGACTTCTGTTGAGCTCCTCGCAAGATGGTCTGTGACAAGAGGCTGAATTTTCTGTGCCAGTAGCGTTGACTCTTTAGGATTGACCGATTTGTATCAAATTAGAAAGGCACCTGTGCGACCTTTCCGTTGTTCTCGATCGTACAGCAGCTGACTTTCCCTCAGACTGGCGTAAAATCTTGTTGTGAGCGTGGTCAGATAATGTCTTCGAGCTGAGGGGAAAGAGAATAAGAAAGAGAAGATGGTACCCAAGACGGGGAGTGTGTAGCTAGGCAACAAGGCTAGAGGAAGTTTGTAGCCGTTGCAAAATTCGATGTCAGTAAACAAACGCAATCAGATCACATGGGGAAAGAAGCGACACTACATGTAGTTTGGAAAAGCAAGCACAAACATGACAAGTCTTTCTTCCAGGTCTGTCCTGATTTACACGGCAACCATGACAGTATCCCTGCTCATGGCAAGCAAGAAGTGAATAAATCCAGTGATCCTCCGCCAGGGTAATCCACGTCAATTCCTCAACAGGCCCAGTACGATATGACGAGAGTCATGATACTCGCCGGGGACTGGAAAAACTTCTATTTGTTACTTTAGGCCCATTACCTACGGAGCTTCTACCAAGTAGTAACTCCTTGTTGAGGAGTTAATGATACCATTACTGGACTAATACTTATTGTCCTACTGGAGAAGTACTAAGAGGCAAGACCAGTATTGAATCACAGTAATTGATTGTTTCATAATGTCGACCTTGCGACACTATTATTCGAGCATTTAGCTCCCAGTGCCAGTCAGATGATTGATCTTGTTCACATTTTTTTTATAGCCCCATTAGCCATTATAATACAACAAGAGGTCAGCTAGTACGTGACAAGCGTAGCCCCTGAGGGCCCTCAATGTGATAGCAATCCTTCTGACCTGCCTTTTGTAGACATCCTTTTTGCTCAATGCACCATCTAGTACAGTCCATAAACGCCATCAGTTCCCTAGCTATATGGACTTCAAGAACTGTTCCCAAATTAGTGCTTTGTATAAAATGACAGTTTTGAGGATCTTTTCCTACCTCAGCGGCTTCTGCTGGTGTCACATCAGATGCTGCGGATCGACTGGAGTCGATCAGACCCAGATTTCTCCCCCATCTAATTTTCATCCACATCTCTCGACGATCGCCACCTAATTCCTTCGCTAGCAGTCGCTTCTTGAGGTCTCGCAAGAACGTATTGTATATAGCCGGGACCTCGAGCGAGGCCAGCTCCTCTCTCATGACACCCAAGTTCTCTACTGCTCTGTCGTAGCCGCTGTCACCAGTGCTGTCATTGATCAAAGACCGAATGACATGTCCCATTTGCTTGGCAGCATCTTCGATCTCGGTATCTGACGTTGTGACCGCCATCATCTGTTTGAACTCAGGTATCGAGTTTTCAAGGGAGACCTTCTTCCGCTTGCTCGGTGGACCCATGATCTCGTCGACATTTAGGCCAGATAGTGGCTGAGCCGACTCTTTCTTGCCGCCACGGGCCTTCGCCTTCTCCGGTACTAGTATGTGTTAGTAGCTGCTTGATTGAGCTCGAAGAAGAACATACCCTTCTTAACATCAGCAACTGCAATGAGGGCTTCTATCTTGCGTTTTGCCTTATCCACGAGGTCTTGTGGAGGGTGAGAGAATTTGAGAAGATTCTCAGGAACGGGTTGGACTGGAGAGTCAGGATGTACCGCGCGCACACGAATGGCCTGGTTGATCCTGTGAACGGCCGGAGAGAAAGAGTCATCAATTGTTGCATACTCGGCCGGATTACCATCATCGTCAGTCCCAAACGTAGAGAGATCCATTGAGTCGACGTAGTCACTCATCGCTTGGTTGAGTTTGTCCTCTGGAAGGAGCCGGTGCTTCGTCAGAGTATTGCCACTAATGGTGATGACTTTGTCCAATGGAGGGAATTGGTACGAGCGTATATCTTCCGCAAAAGGTAGAGGCACGTCATAAAGGCACTCAAAGTCCGGCTCAATATTGGGCATGAGTAGTAAAAGGACAGGATCCTTGCCGTCTTTGACGACAAATCGCGCTACTGCATATGACTCCAGCTCGTAAAGAGCATGAATCAGGGCAGATAGAGCAAGTTCGGATGGTTCATCGAATTTGCGCGCGACGATTACATGAGCTTCGCCCATGTTAAGGAAAGGCTCATACTAGCAGAAATCAGTGAAAATATTTCATAATGGCGAAAGAGAATAGTCCTACTCTGTCAAAGGGAATGAAGCCGACGATTGAAAAATCCTTTTTCGTCTCAAGTTTGGTGACGTTAAACTCGGACTCGCTGATAGGCACTGCTGTGCTGCCGTAATTGTAGCCCTTGGCCAATGATTCAAATTCGACTTCCTTCTTCCCGCCCGGGGCACTGGGGTCATTGACCTTGTAAGTACGGACCTGCTTGACATTTGAGAAATTCACTCCATCACCGTACTCGACACCGTCCATTTCGTCGAGTGTCTGTGTTGACTGTGATGTCCCACCAGGGTCTGACTTCAAGACAACAGTGGTGGCAGCAGGGGGCCTGGAAATCTTGGTTTTGGGCCATCGTTCTACGTTGATGCTCATTGCGCTCTCGAACTCGTCCGGGTTTCCAAGAGTCAAACGGCCATCGTAATTCTTGACGAGTCTCACAGGCTTGACGCGTGGGTTCTGAAGTTCATCGACCGCTTGGGCGATTGTGCCAAGCACGCCATCGTTGCATTTCGATACTAAAGATTTGAGAAGGTTCTCATTGTTGGACTAAAACATTAGAAATGTGCCTTTGAGAAGACCGAAACAGAGGCATACCTTCAGTCGTGGCTTGTCTTCCTCCTTGAAGCCAAAGTCCGGATCATCAAAGTCAACACCACTAGCCATGTAAGCCAATCAAGAACAGTGTTGAATTCGAACGCATACATACATGACGATAAGCTGAATACCGATATCATTAATCCGCTTTGCAATATCGTCCAAGTCGTCACTGTCGATGGGACCCTGACCATCTGTGACAAGGATAATCTTTCGATTGTACTTGAGTTTCTTGGTGAATTTCTCAATCAACTCTGAGGCAATCACAATGGCTGATATGGCGTCGCCATTTGAGGTCTCATTGGGCTTGATCACATTCTGTAGTTCTTTGAGATCCGACATCGTTATAGGACCGATGTCCTTCAACACGGAGATGTTCTCATAGCCGTCATCATCCTGTAAAGCATTACGGGTTTCATCTGTTCTCAATCCAATCACGCCCACAGTCCATGTCTTGCGCGATGCTGAAACGGTGGTTGAGATCTTGTCCCACACATAGCGCATGCTCCAGTCGAGGTCCGACTCCACTCGGCCGTTGTTGCAGTTGCTCATCGACGAGCCGAGGTCGATGATGTAGACTGTAGCCTCCTTGTCCGCCATGATTGCAAAAAAGTTGTGTGAACTCAGACAAGAATCAATTCTTCGTTCCTGTCCATCTTGGAGAGGGAGAATCCCACGCTTAGTTTCACAGTTGGGTAGGCACCAGCTGAGGCAGGTATGGAGCTTCACCTAGGCAGCTCCGCGATTCTGCCTATGCACGCCACTTTTGGAACCGCGTCACTTGGCAGGAACCGCGCGAAGTCAGGTGATGTTTAGGTGCATAGATGCATAACGGGTCGGGGCGTATGCATCAAGGCGGATGCCCCTCTACTTACCTACCGCCCCGGCTTCCCTTGTGCATGATATCCTAGCCTACTGTCGTCACCATCAGGCATTTCCGATCTGCCACATTTCAACGTTGAGATCTCATCGCGACAGGCCTTTGTTTACATTGGAAGAGGGAAGATTTATTGCCAGAGGCCAGAGAAGATAGCAAGATGCCCGAACGATCGATATTGCTGTCTGGAGCACCATATCACGTCATAGCGTAGGCAATCTCCCGCCAAACTGAAGCTTCAGGACGCAGGCCGTTGACAGAAACCTTACAGATATGGAACTCTGTTAGGAACCACATTCTTCCATGTAGGTGACAAACAAGCTGCCTTGAAAGCAACATTCAACTGACTTTGCCAAAGACATTTATCGGTGGCATTGTCCAATTCAAAACACTGCCCAGACTGCAGTTTTCGGCCTTGCAGACCAAGACCTTCCCCATCTATTTTGGCCTGCAAACCGCCTTGCCGCTTGTCCTGGCCATCACTCTACCTGGAAGTAAGACGCCTTTCGGTGCTTCATCAGGCATCAGTGCTCTTCTGGACTCATCAAATCGCTGGGGGACGTTCTTCCCAATCGCGACCATCTTCCTTACAGGATTGGCAAATCTCGCCGTCCTGCTACCTCTTTCGAAGCAATGCATCGAAGAGAGGCGCATTCAAGGTAAATGGTTTTGCCTGCTCTTCTATATGATTGTGTACTGAACTTGAAATCCAGAGAAGAAGGACGGCAAGAGGAGTTGGGACCCGGCGCCTCATTCAGCAGAGATGACCGCATTGAATAAGAAGTTCGGCATGCTTCACGGCATCTCTTCTCTGTTGAACATTATCACATTCACCGCGTCCGTTATCTACGGTGTAACGTTATCGAGCCGAATTCAGTGAGGCTCGTGACTCGTTGACTTGAGTGGGTCAATTGCCAACGAGCATTTTAGACGTTGGAAGTGGCAGTCAACCTGCATATGCCTGGCACATGCGAGAAATCCACAAATAACGGCTACGGCAACAAGATATGAAACGTCAACTGAATCTCTTGTATGATAATTCATAAGCAACAATGAGTAAGCAAGCTCTGTTAAAAAAAACCTAAAAAAAACTGTCATTAATACTACATTAATTAATTGTCCTCTACTGGAAGAGCTTTTGGTATTCCGAGTGTGACCGCCGCTGATCATCTATCATGGGATAATCAGCATCAATTCGCGGGCGGTTGCGCGATGTCATTATGCATATTGCCTTGTGACTGGAGCACATGCATGATTTCCCAGCTCTGACTCTAGATAACTAATTCGTTTCAGATCCCCGTCCGTCCCTATGGGATTACAGACGCCGAAAAAAAAAAAAAAGACAAAAATACATGGGGTATCATGAGTAAACCAAGTCGCCGCCATGCTGTATGTGACTGACCATATCAGTCACGATCCAGGGCATGGGCGTTCGTGCTATCCGGGCAGCACATGCGCCAATGTCATAAACCACTAATGCACACGCAAATCATGGCTTGATCATTCATCGTCGATCGTTGTTGTGGGCGTGAAGGTTCTCCCATCCTTGCAGCAAGTCTTTCTTCGCGGCTGCGAGTTCCAATGCCCGCTTCTCCTTGTCTTGGACGACAGGCGCTGTTTCTCGCAATGGAGTCTCCTTGAGGTAGTGGCCCAGCGTCCACTTCTTAGGCGGCCGTGCCAACATCTCGTCCAGATCGATCTCCTTTGCGGGGATGGGGTAGTCGCGAGATAGAGGGTCGATGGGATTTCTCTTCATGGGAGAAGTGGTAGATGTTGTTGTCGAGGTAGAAGACTCTGTGGTGGTCCTTGGCTGCACTGGTCTCTCGGCAGCGTCTGGCAGGATGAAGTCGGAGCCAGAGGAGACAGAGCTCCTGTGTGAAGATGGGAAGTAGCTGTCTGTCATGGTGGCTAATTTTGACGAGAATGCTAGATCGTGCACTTCTTCCAGATTTTTTGTTGTGGTGAATTCGCTCGGAGAGCTGAGGACAACCCGAGCCTCCTGAAGGGATAGACTTTCGTTTACCAGTGTCGAGGATGTCAAGCCGGGAAAAGTGTCAACGTCGAAGATCATGGTGGGCGGCTGGGTCTTTTATCTTATTTACGCCTGGAACGGGCTTTCAGGGTCCTTCCTCGTTTAGTAATTTCCCCTATGGTGAGAAAAATCCGGCGGTGAACTAAGAGGTTGTTGTGGACCCTGAATTGTGGATAAGACGCCGTGGATCAGGGCCGAGATGGATTTAGAACAGCGCAAGCAGCCAAGGGCAGCGCTCTCACGACGCTACCTCGGAGGGAGGCGAAAAAAAGCGGCTACAAGGAAACGGAGTTTGCGCAGTCAAGCAAGATGACGTATTAAGCCGACGACTCACACGCAGGTGCTGCTTAATAAACGAAAGGTATTCCCGGCGTCACAAGATTTTTAAGTCCGAGAATAACATCGAGAGTCAAGAACGAGTTTTCACCTTTGTAAGCCTGACTCATGGGCAGACCTCATGGTGTTCTGGGTTGCTCAGATGGTGGGCCGCTTTTATAGAGGGATTCTAGGGGGATCTAGGTCCGCGTTCCTGGATCGTGGGCTGTCCTGCGAGCCCCCACGCTAGACTGGCTCGACCTGCTCTGCCCACAGCATCTCAAGCGCCGGCATCGCTTCGGCTGAAAGCAGATTCTCAACAATGCCCATAGTGTTTGTCCCCTGTCTTACCCATCTATTCAGAGAAATTGGCACATTCACAGAAGCGGTGTGCCCTCGCTATCGAGAGCGCTACCGGCCGGTGCCTTCCCGGAGACTAACACTCAGTCTAGCGACTTGCTATCATCTGTAGCCTTATCAACGTGCTGTAAGCCAAATGAAGAAGCCAAGTAAACATGCAGAGGGCTGTCAAAGTCGAGTGCATCGACGAGACGAAGACAGAAGGTCGTACTTTGAGCTCAATCCCTGAGGAGCGCTCCAGCAACCTGCACCGCTCCCAGCATGTTGTTGAGTCTCCACGATTGAAACAACATGGTACCCCCAATCTTCAACTTCGTCACATGCCTGATTTGCGGCAAATTGGCAGGCCCCACTAGTTCTGGTCCCCCACACTGGACCAGACCTCGAGCCCGGGCCTTTCTAGACGACGATGATTGCTTTTTTGAACCTCGTTGCAGTCCATGTGCCCAGCAGAAACGTCTAGCGAGGATGAGGTGTCGCGACGATCACGAGAAACAATATTTCCCGCGGCAGCTGCTTTTGCCTTCACGTTACCTCTGCTGACTTCCTTTCTTGTGAGGTTGAACCGTTGGGGATATGCCGGGGCTTGGTACTGGCACTTATCCTAGTCGGAACTCAACCCTGACAGGCTTAGGTCTGGTTTCTGGGGTCTTCCGGAAGGCTTCCGCACCACCCATGACTGTGATGGGGACTGTTTGGCTGAGCTGAATAGTGGCTGAACAATAAATATTAAGTATGCTAATTGTGTATGATGCCTTGGATCCCGTGTCTAGCGCCTCGTAATAATGCTAATGCAACTCCACAATCCCCAGACTCGTCAGTCTCCAGGGCACCTTTCCATATCCTTAGGCCCAGTGGCCCATTCGCGAGGGCTGCTTCAGGCTGATTCATGTACGTAATACGTTTCTGCTGCCCCGTTGTTCATGCATCGCATTTTGCATGGATGAAACGCTTTCTTGACGGGTCACACTACTTCTGTTTCTGCTTCTGCTGCTTCTTCGCCAGCTCGCTCGTTCTGATAATCTTGGGTTGCTTCGCGGCGGGTGTCCGATACGAAGAGAAGCTGGTTGGCACGAACATGCCCACGGCCCTCTGGTAGTCGGCGTATTCCGGATACTTGCCCGAGGTGATCAGCTCCGTGATCCATGTTGAGCCTTGGAAGACCAAGACGAGCGCGAATGGGCCGGCAGCCGTCCAGTTGTAGAGGACTTTGGTCTCGTAGCAACTCCATTGGTAAAGAAGGAACCAGATCATCTGCTCTGCGGCGAAGTTCGGGTGCCTGCTATAGCCCCATAGACCGGAGGCGACGAAACCACGATCCATCTCCAGCTGTGTGAATCCTCTGGGAATCTTGGCCGACTTTTGGTATTGCTGCTTCGCTGCTTGATAATCTGTTACTAGTTAGCCACTGTGATAAGCAGCAAAATGTTAGTGTGTAAAACAACTGACCCCATTGCTGCTGGTCGGCAAACCATTCTACCAGGATCAGGCCAAGCTGTGACGAAACGTAGGCCAAATCGGAAGCCTTGATCTCCGGCTCAAACTGCGTAGAAAGGAGAAGTATGTAGACGGGAGCGGCCAGGGAGAACAGGAGTATGCTCTGGATGAACGAGATGAATGTGAAATTGAAGATATGCCATAGCCAGACCGGGGTGTTTCTGCGAATGATCGCCCTGATATCTTCTCTTTAGCCATGAATATCGACGGCTTATTATATGCAAACGTACCAGCGATAATCCTCAGAACCGATATTGTAGCCTCCCTTTCTAGCATAGTTGATTGTCAATCGCAGACTCCATACGGTGCTAAAGAGCAGAGCGGCGTCAATTCTCTGGGACGGGACGCCGGTCAATCTGGCCCAGATGTCGAAATGGGCGATGTATACCGTCGGCAGTATGCTCCAGAAGCGGTCAACTTGGGAGTAATTTTGATTGACCTCTGAGGCGACCAGGAATACGGCTCCAAGAAACAGAGAAAAAGCGAAGCCAGACACAAGAGGATTGGTCTGCGTATAGACGTCGAAGAGGCTTCCGCGCGTTTCGATCGTGTCAAGCAACTTGTTTGGAAGCTGGTAGAGCTGTGGAAGGTAGGGCTCGACTGTTTTGGCCCAGTCGGCGCAGTCCTCGAGGGCCTGCAGAGCCGGAATCATCGTCGGAAAATCTGGGGCTGGCGGTTTGCGAGATCAATTAATTCGAAGTGCTCATGAGAGCAGTTGGTGATTCTTGAGGTATCGTGGGTAGCCTTTTTGTACCTTGCATGGTTCGAGAGGTGTGGTATGTGCGCGTCATTATTGGTGAATATGCTTCCAGCTTCCCGCCCCATCCATACCATAGTCTGGTTAGGGGACCTTTGGGGGACCACAACGTCCGGTTACAGGGGGTAGAGCTGCAAGCCAATTGATCCTGGGGGTGTCGCCCCGCAAAACGATAGAATCGTTACCAGAGCCCCGAGATATTGCATATCTCGAACCTGAGTGCTTCAACCATGACCTCTCAAGCAGCCGAAGGCAGGAACGGCCAAGACTAGGATCCCGTGACCCTCGAATCCCTTCCTGCCATCTATAAGAGGTAAAGTCGAGATTTCGTACCTGAACGATGCTTGCTGCGACAAGATTAGGCAGTACGAGAACCTGTATCGCGTCAACGCGTCTGTTCAACAACGCGTCGTGCCTGCTGGGAATACCTTCATGACACTTGTGCGAGCCCAGAGGCAAGAGGCAACACTCGGCGAGCTCCATTGCTTCTGGGACAAGATCTTTGAGACATTCCACCAAATCCAACATGACGAGGATTCTCTGCGTGGCGGAGAAGCCCTCCATCTCCAAAGCCGTAGCAGGCCATTTATCTGGCGGAAGATTTCAAACTGTAAGATGTTGTCCCTCGATTTGCACGGGTATAGCTGTCTAACTGGTATCAGCATAACACTCGCCTACAATTCATTAAGAATTATTCTTTTGACTATGACTTTGGACCACCGTGGGGAAACTGCAATGTCACAATGACCTGTGTGACAGGTCATCTCACGACAATGGAATTCCCACCGGATTTCAAGAATTGGCAATTTCCACCCCCGGAGCGCCTGTTTGATGCACCCGCACTCACTGTTGTTCCTGATGTACGGCAAGTTTTGATTTGCTGGTAAGATCCAAGTACTAATCACTTTTTGGTAGGACAAGAAGGTCATAGCCAAGAACATCGAGGATCAGGCGAAATATGCCAAAGCTCTCTTCATATGGACGGATTGTGATCGCGAAGGCGAGCATATCGGCAGTGAGATCCGCGAGGCAGCCAGAAAAGGCAATGCGCGGATTGAAATCAAGAGAGCTAGATTCAGCAACATCGAACGAGCGTATGTCGGCTTTTCACCCTTTCTCTGCACGTATTTGCTGAAATCTTTAGCCACATCCTGAGTGCCGCTCGGCGCCTCGATACGCTGGATGATAAGCAGGTCGATGCTGTCTCTACTCGAATAGAGCTGGACCTGAGAATCGGGTTTGCTTTCACTCGTTTCTTGACGAACAGCTTGCGCACTCTCGGTGCACCATTGGAGGATCTCGTCATCAGCTATGGTAAGTATATATGAATTTCTAACGACATTGGACGACTAGCTGATTTGGCAGGCTCATGTCAATTCCCAACACTCGGATTTGTGGTTGACCGGTACTTCAAGGTGAAGAACTTCGTACCAGAGGAATTCTGGGGTATCAAGGTTATACACAAGAAAGACGGCCTGAGCGTTACCTTCAATTGGGCACGACATCGACTTTTCGACAGAGCAGCCGTTGTCATACTATTCGAAAGATGTTTGACAGCGAAGACCGCCGAGGTTGTCAAAGTGCAAGAGAAACCAACTTCAAAATGGAAGCCACTGCCTCTGACAACTGTTGAATTGCAGAAGATGGCAACACGGTTTCTCCATATGAGCGGTCAGCAAGCGATGACTATTGCCGAAGCCTTGTATAATCGAGGGTTTATCAGCTACCCAAGAACGGAAACCGACCGTTTCGACAAAGGAATGGACCTTCGGGCTCTTGTTCGAAAGCAAACTACTGACAACAGGTGGGGAGCTTTTGCTCAGAATCTCGTGGATGGTGGATTTCAACAGCCGCGTAATGGTCGCCATGATGACAAGGCTCACCCCCCAATCCATCCTGTCACATATGCAGCACCGAATGCTCTGACAGCAGATGAAAAGCGGCTGTACGAGCTCGTTGTCCGCCGATTTTTAGCTTGTTGCTCTGAAGATGCTAAAGGAGTTGCTACTGACGTCGATATCCGATATGGCGATGAAGCATTTCATGCACATGGAGTGATTGTTTTGGAGCGAAACTATCTAGATGTCTACCCTTACGAAAACTGGACTAATACGGCTGAACTGCCGAAATTTACAGTTGGTGAACGATTTGAGCCTACAGAAGCAATGATTACGGAAGGGAAAACAACAGCTCCAAGTTACTTAACAGAAGCGGACCTCATTGCTCTGATGGATGCGAACGGTATCGGGACTGATGCGACAATGGCAGAGCATATTCAGAAGATTCAGGATAGGGAGTATGTACGAACTGTCGACCGAGCTGGAACCCAAGTCAATGACGGTGATGACGACTCGGACGAGGCTCCACCGGCCAGGGGAGGACGTGGAGGTCGCGGCAGTCGCGGCGGCCGTGGAAGAGGAAGGGGCCGTGGAGGCGGGGCAGCTGCAGGAGGAGGCCGGCGGGGCGTGAAGGAGTTCATTCCAACACAGCTCGGGGTGGCTCTTATTGAGGGGTTCGACCGAATGAACTTCGAGACGAGCCTTGGTAAGCCTTTCCTGCGGAAGGAGATGGAACTCAAGATGAAGGCGATCTGCGAAGGCCAAACAACCCGAGAGGTCGTTCTCCGAGAGAACCTGCATCAGTATCGGCAGGTCTTCAACCAATCCGTGGAACAACTCGATGTTCTTAAAGCTGTGAGTTACCCAAAACAGCTCAATGCTGTCGCCATGCAAAAAGACTGACGAGATCCAATGATAGTCATGCAGACGATATATTTACCAGAACGGAGGGGCGTGAATGCATTCATATGAGGCATTGGACAGCAATGTAGCCCGCAGTAGATGCCCAACCTCGCATCGGCACCATAGGTTGCTTTGATCTAGAGGTAGATTCCCAACATTACTCAAACAATCAGACTGTTGGAACTCCTTGTCCTCGCCGTTTCCTAGTGAGATTACTAACAGCCATCCTTACTACAGTGGTTTCAGCTCTTAGCAAAGAATGTTGGTTGCGGTCATGACAGCACTAAATTATTCTTCAAATGATACCAAAGCATCGCCGGCAAGCTGTCCTCGTGGGTAGGTTATAGGTAGAGACAGCTTTCAATGACGATCTTCGAGAAGATGAAACCATCGTCATGCTCTCAGAATCCAGCGACTCTCACAACATCCAACCCTTACTTCACGTTCCTCCATCGGCGCAGGCAAGCTATTCCTCTTTAGAAGGCACGACGTCTGAGGTGGAGCACTGTACTATGGGATTTGGCCTACGGGACTCCTCGGAACTCCAAATGCGGGCTATAACGGATGTCCGGCCCCGCACTCCTCGCACGATGACATGCAATTCGCGTCTCCTGCGCCGTGAAACTGATGCTTCGGCTCAGCGGGGTCGACATAGTGGATTCCCTACGAAGCAAGCCTCCTCATGTCAAGATGCGGGGTGTTTCGAGTCTTCCGACGATGTGCCTAGGGCATCTCATGTCCCGAGGTGGTCGGGAGAGGTCTCGCCGCACTATTCGCCAACGTGGGAGGTTCACAGTGGTCGAGAGGGCTAGCCATGAAGCCCGGCTGTGTATATTTTCTGGGGACGAGATCCACGGCAACGGTATACGGTTTGGTACATTCCAGGTACCTGAGAAGCTTTCGTCTATCCATGATGTAGTCAGGTGCGCAACTTGGAAGGCCTCCCGTATTGTGGAAGTGGACCAATCACACGAGTTCTTTTGTCCAACGTGATAAGAGGGTGTGCTCCCCGAAGGCGTGGCCTCAACCTTTCTGCGCGATTTTGGACGTAATTTACATTGTTCTGCACCGTCGGCTCTATTCTCGCTGCAGGCACTGCTGCTGCCAGCCAGCCCGATTACATTAAATGTAGGTACGCTGCGGTATCGTCCCGAAGAAGAGGGAACAAGAGGGGGTGAGATAAGACCAATTGGTGGAGGGATCCATGGCTGGGTGGATGATACCGTGCTATGTGGTGTCCGACGACCGGCCTAGGTTGACAATAGAAGGACATCGAACACAGATACACACACACACTCACTCACACACCTCTTTCTGAATCGGTAAATCACAGATGCTGTTGGTAAGCGAGGCAAGCGCGAAATACCACAACAAACTTTCTTCTGGGTATATGGCTGAAAGTATCAAATGATACTGGACACGCACGACAGATCCGAGAGACTGATTGTGCCAGTGATGGCGTTTGCCCCGGTTGCCCGTTGGACCGACTTGCTGTTCCCTACTTACGATGTACTTTGAGCAAAGGACAAATGGTTAGGCTACAGGCTCGCCAGGGCATGCATACACACTGATGCGACAGGTGAATGATAAGGAGACACCCTTCTCTCCAACGCTGTTTGCGACGTGTGCTTTTCGCACTGAGACGCCCCTCGTGTAGTCCCATTAAGTGGAAATGCGTCACGGTCCTCCTAGAGCCCATACTGACTAAAATCCAAGGCATTTGGGGGATGCCCCAGGCCAGACAGATGCCAGCGCGCGTCATCGACACACTGTATTCCATGCAGCACTCACTCCTTGCGCTGAAGATGGAGGTACACCGGCCGCCTGTGGCTGACATTCAGCTTTCGCAATACGGCAGGATTTGTCTTGGAGCGCAGTTCCAACGCTTCAGAAGGAAGGCACAAAGAATGCTGACATTCCTTGATTAACAACAAACGTGGCAACATCTTGATGCGATTTTATGAGAACGCTGCAGGCAAAACGGGTGGACAAAGGAGAGCAAAGAGACTCATCGCTCATTTCAATTAGCTCAGGAGAATAGCGAGGATAATCACCCTGATCCCCGGGTTTTGAATTAGGATGGGGCGCCCTCGCGACATTAAAGCTCTCTGTGCTGTCAAGGGCCGTCGTCGCATCAGCCAGTCTGTTGACATTCACCACCGCGCATCTCTACTCATGGCCAGGCGTGATTGATGCTCTACTTGCATTTCGTTACTTTAACTGGTATCAACAATTGCTATAGACTCATATCACCAATTCTACATGGTAACGGGCCTCCAATGCAGAAACTGTCATAGAAGCAGCCGTGGAAACGGCATGGGTATGGGCATGTGCATCTGTGACACCTACAGTGAAAATCGTCTTGACTCGCACGGAGGCTTAGTTGGCGTGTTTTCTTAGGTTCTGATAAGCGTGCCCTGGAGGGTCGACGGATGGGGACTAGTGTCAGTTTTGGTGTGGCTGCAGACAACAAGCCAAGCTTGCCTTTGCCTGGCTTGGGTGGCCACTACTGCGTACACCCATCTGCATCCACGGGGGCGTGTCGACGGAAGTACTTTGCCTGACTGAGGTCAGCTAACGGTACCTCAGGTACATTGCATCGTACCCTTTTGCGATACGTACCTTCCCGGCTTTGGATGGGCTGGGGGGCTGCCCTGCCCTGCCCTGTTCTCGCTCTCTGATGCTGATGAGTCTTGCTGGCTGGCTCGCTCGCTCGCTCGGGTCGCGGGAGATAGGCTGGCCTGCCTTATTAGAACGGGTTGATCTTCGCTCCTCGCTGCGCTCCCCTTCTTGCTTCCCCCAAACCAACAACAGAACAAGAATCCAAATCAGCAACTTTTGCAATCGAGAGTCATCTCCTGTCACAGTACGATAATCGCGTCAGCTTTGCCAGCTTGTCCATCGGCCGTTTGATCCGCCGCCTACTTCAAATATCTCTTTGAACCAGGAACAAAGGTCTATCAGTGCCGATTCCTGCCTTGCTTCTGACTCCCTGTAAGTGACTCAGCGACGATCATCGCCCGCGACCTCCCATCACCAACACCATCAAAATCAAACATCAACATCAATAGACACGCGTCGCAAATCCCTTCCGTTGATAAAAGCTAGCTAACCTTGCATCGCGCGCGTCTCCAGAGCAGTCAAGAAGCATCTCCATACCAGATTACCATCAATATGGCAACCATGGCAACTGCTGTTCGCGATATCCCAATGGCCTCCGACCGAGACAACTTAACTGCTGTAGCGGCTCGGAGTGTCCCTGTGACACGATCTCACCCTCTTCCCCTCCCGACTCCCCCGAACTCCATATCTCCTGCTCTTCCTCCTCACGGGCTGAAGGCCCAGTTGCAGAAGGCAAGGCTCGAGCCCATCGACTCCGACCTGGATCTCCAGGACGGCCACGATGACGCCGCGCAGTTTGATACTGCCGGCCATCCGTCCGCCCTCGGCTCTCCTCCGTATGATTCGGCAGGCGCCATCTCCCCGGCTATGCTTGCCAAGTATCATTTGCCGGAGATCTTGCTGAACCACGGTCCCTTGGCGATCCGCCATGTCATGGGCTATCTCACGACATCCGTCCCTGGATTCGCCGGCATCCCTCCGGCGAAGGCGAGGCGGCTAGTAGTAGGAGCTTTGGAAGGACGAGGCAATGGTGGTGAAGGCGGCGGATTGGACGGTGACGTGGTGTTTGAGAAGGTGGGCTGGGGTCGATGGGACGCCCGGCGACGAGGTCAACCTCCGCGTGATGCGAGCGCTCAGCAATCCGCAGCAAGTACCTCACCCTACATGACGGGAATCCCTATCGCACAGGGTACAGGGCGAAATGCAGATCGGTCGCGCCTCGGTGTGTCGGGGTCTAGCGCAGGCGACTCAGCCGCGTTCTCCCACGATGATCGAGACATCACGATGCTGGAGAATGAGGCAGACAAGATGTCTATGGACGGATCTGCTTCTGCATCCTGCTCTGAGGCACCCGATGATGATGTAGTGATGAATGACGATCCTGAGGATGTTACCGACGATGAAGACTGGGCCGCTATGGGGGCAGCTGCTTTGCGTGCTGCATCCTATTCGAACGCAGTTCAGCCGAACCCCTCTTCTCGTGTATATAACGGCGGCATGCGATCATTCTCGGGCAACACTGGAATGACGCGTGCGCCGCAGTTCGGCAGTCTCAACCTGACGGCGTTGGGAGGCACTTCTGACGCACAGGAGCGTGAGGCTGTTGAGGCTCTTCTCCGTCTTGGTTCTGTATAATATGCTTGCATGGCACGGCGTTGAACGGGGCATATTTTCGGCTACAGGTTTGGCTTATGGTTTTGGACTCGGTCTGGCTGGTTCGGCCAGGGGTTTTGCGGCATGTCACCACCTTTGATCGAGGCGGCGCCCTCTTGATCTTACGACCATTCTCGGCATGCATGGACAGGACCGACAGCTGGCGTTTTGGTATTCTCCCCCCGAAAACGCCGCTTTTTCGATCTGGAGGAATATCGGTATTGACACAACACCCTATTTTTACGACTGATGCATCGCATCTTGCACCCTCGAATGAGGTTGTGGGTTGCTTCTATAACTACGCAACGTTTTCAACCTCTCTTCTCTACCCAAATGCGGCTCACGATCCTCGATTCTACACTGATCGAGAAGTGCGATTTCCGGATGATCGACCTGGAGCCCTTGAGATGTTGAATATTTTGTCTTCTTCCAATGTCTGCGATGGCGATCCGCTTGGATTGCAGGGTCAACCTAGGGACAGCAGCCAGAGTCATCTAATATCTTCTTCGCGTGCTCGGAATCACCCCGGAGGAGGATTGGGCCCTTCTTTGTTTTTTCTTGAAATATACCCCCTTGCATTACATCATTTATACGTCGCGGCACAACGCACTTCAACAGCTGCCTGCGGCGGATGACGGACGCAAAAAAACAACGTGTTCTGTCCCTACCTTTTTTATTTATCAGACTTCTCGACACTTGTATGTTTAATCATTTAAGGGGGTTGCGGGTGGGTGTGGCTTAGTGGAGTTGGAATTGTTAAGCTCAGATGGCCTTATTGCGCGCTCTTTAAGGCTTGCCGCAATGTGTTTTGACATGGCTAGGCAAGGCAGATCTTTGGAGGGAGGATGCCGTCGCCGATACTATTGCTCCTGCTACTATTATATGCCTCGTAAGTATGGCACAGGAAGCATGGCGCAAAAAAAGACAAGATATTTGGTGGTGGGTGGATTAGCCGTTTAGTCTTATGAGTTTGCTTAGGCTGAGGCTCAAGGAATGAAACTGTCGATTTGCCATCCCAACTATAAGACCTCGTCCAAGTGATTCGTCTGGCTTGTGTGCACAATGTCAATAATTGCGAGGGTATTCATCCTGATCCGGCTACTGCTGAAAGTCACTGGCTGAACATAGCTAACACACGTTCTTACTTCTAACATACCCCCTTGCTTTCCTCAGTAGACACCTTAGAAAGTGAAAGCCCAGACACTAAGATTCGTTTCCGCTCCTATTTCAAGCGCAAAAAACGTAATTTGAGAAGGTGAGCACATGCCTCCACGCAAGTAAAGTTCTTCCCAAAGCCCGTGAGTTACAAATACGACTTGACTTGGTCCTCGTTCCACTCCCAGAACTTATAGTTGCCTCCAGTGCCTCCCTCAGCCTCCAGCTTTGTTGCCTTCTCTAGATCTGGACGAAGAGGATAGAATCTGCCGAACGGAATTACTGTGATTGTTAGCACTGCATGTCATCGGGATCAAGGACGAAGACAATGATGCCTCTGGCCCCTGGAGGCGATGGACTCACTCCAACTTCCCGTCTTCTCCATGGTAATCTCAGGGGACAAGCCAGCAAATAACTCGGTATAAGCACCGTTCACAACAGGGTAGACAACCAGACCAGCGATGAAACGTAGTGCCTTCGTTGCGTCTCTCGCCAGCTCGGTACGCAAATTCCCAGGGTTAATGGGCACGCTCACAATACCGTCGGCCTTGTGCCTGCGCGCGAACTCGGCGCCGAGAGCCCACACGCCCGCCTTGCTGATCCCGTATCGGTCTATATACGCCTTCGGCTCGTGGTAGTCGAGGTTGTCGAGCGGCACGCCGACGTCCGGCACGCCGTACGACTCGAGCCCATACGACGACAGCCAGACGACGCGCACCGCAGCCGGCGGCTCCGTCTTGGCCGTCGCGGCGAGCACGGGCGTCAGCAGCTTGGTGAACAGGAAGGTGCCGACGCAGTTGACGCCGAGGGTGAGCTCGTAGCCCTGCGCGGTCTTCCGCAGCGGGTCCGAGCCCATCAGCCCGGCATTGTTGAAGAGGACGTGCAGCTTCGTCTCCTGCGCGAGGAAGCGCCCCACCGACGCCTTGATCCCGCTCAGGTCGGCGAGGTCGAGCTGCAGGAAGACGAGGGCGCCCTTGGACTCTGGCGCGGACTTCTTGATGTCCTCGATGGCGCGGGCCGTCTTGTCCGGGGAGCGTCCGGCGGCGTACACCTTGGCGTGCTTTGTGTATAGGATGCGCGCGACTTCTTTGCCAATACCGGTGTTGGCGCCCGTGACGATGTATACTTTGCCGTGCAGATCTGGGATGTTCTTCTCGGTGTAGGTTGGCTTGGGAGGGTGGAATTGGGTCCAGGCCCTTGAGAACGACGACATTTTAGATTCAGGGCGATGGTGATGCTAAGAGAAAATTCACATCGAATAGCTCCAGCTGTATCACGGGTAAGAGGAGAAATCTTAGGTCTCCGACCAGAGAGCACTGGTCAGGCATGTTATACAAGCAGTCAAACATGCCCAAGGCTAACCCCCCTTTCGACTCCGCATTCTTATAATTCAATCATAAAAAACCGACTATACGCATTACCGGACTTGGCATAGAAGCCGAAAGGTTGCGCACACCATCGCTGCGTTTATCGTGAGTGACATGACGCGTACGAAGAGCCCATTGATGAGTCCTACTAGCCGGCGCTGTGCTCCGGGGCCTAAGTCGGTGCCGATTGTGGGTCCGCCGGGGCTTTCACCTCTCCAGCCAGTCACAGGACAGGGTTTCCGAGCCGACAAATGGGCCGTGTCGGCGCACCTGCAGGCTGAAGCCCGGTAGGATCGGTGTAAGCGTTGTCGCCAGGTTCCTCGGCAAGATTGGCAACAGGTTCCACGAGATACATCGGAGCAAGGTTGTGCGCTTTATCTCTCAATACGTGGCTTAGAAACGCAAGCTCATGCCGCAGCTGTTCAGGGACGGTGGGCTGGCCCAGTATCTCTTGACAGATTCGTGTCAGATGCACATTGCTCTGTGCTGCATCGGCCGACTCAACGTCGGCAGTCTGGCGGAAAGACCGTAGTGTCAACCGGCGACTCATGGTCTTCTGTAGCTATCGAGGCGAGCACCCAGAGTTGAGGCGATCGCAAGCACAGGAAAGAATGGCCAAAGAATCAGAACACAGGAAAGATTGCTTTCGCGGTTTCGTTCGTGTGCTGGCCACAGCAGACGTGGTTCATCCTAGACAAAGGGCAAGGCTGTTGCCCTCTGCTTTGGCGAACCACCGAAAACAGCCTACCTAGGTACGTGACGCACCGTTGAACATGATAAAATAATCCATTGGGCGTCAGAATGCAGGCGAGAGAACAGGTCGGGTAGAGAGCTGCAGCTCAGAACACATAAGCACTTCAGAGCTTGTAGTGCATTTACCGGTTACTCGACCAGGCATCAGTAATCTCAGGTACGGCGCTCCTGTCGAGGACACACATGACACACAAACAAAGGCACGGTGGAAAAGCACATAGAAGTACCGCGACCTCACCGCAACATAACAGTTGTGCAGTCGTGGAGTTGAAAAACCTAGCTATACGTACCTATCCCATATCCCGTCATGCTGCACGTTCGCCAGCGCGTCCGAAACAGATTGCCTTGCTGAGGCATGGCCCCTATTCACGCATGACCAGTGTCCTCTTATTTATTTATTTTATGACAGGAATTCCTGCTACTTCCTTCAATAGACCACAAACCCCACCAATTTTGCCCACACCTTTCACTTTCCCTTCCGCTTTCTATCAAGTCCTAGCTTGCTGGTGCGTCATTGACCTCACCAATCAGAACTTATGTGTTGTTTGCCTGAAAGGCGTAGGACTGTCTACAAGGCATGAGCCGGCGCGCGCTGCGGACCTTCCTAATCTTGTCCTCCATCTGCTCGGCCACTCGGTGCTGCCTGAGATCGGTATCATTTCCTTGCATTGTGCCCCCGTCGTGTACGCAAAGCGTAATGGCCACTCCATCTACGCAGGAGCTTCTCGCCCTGGATGCGGGTGAGTTCAGAATACGCATCGAGAATGGCGAACTCAGCATTGCCGGCCTCATCTCGGCCATCATCCAGCACGTCAAGCAGCAGAACAAGGACGGTTTGCGCCTCAGAGCGGTCCTCTACCCGGCCCCCGAGGATGTGCTCGTAGAACAAGCAAAACAGCAGGATGCACAACACCGCGAAGGCCGTGCCGCCCTTGGTCTGTTGCATGGCATACCCGTGGTGCTCAAGGACTGCATCGCCACCGCACCAGCCTTGGGCATGAAAACCAGCGCTGGCAGCTATGCCTTGCAGGAAGCCAAAATCGCCGCCAATGCCCCGATCGTCGAAAGGCTCCTGGCGGCCGGCGCCATCATCATTGGCAAGAGCAACCTGAGCGAGTTCTGTGCCTACAAGGGCGAGGGCCTCATCGACGGCTATTCCCCGGTGGGCGGGCAGACAAAGTCGCCTTATATACGTGGAGACATCAATCTGGATGAAGGCGACCTGTCGCCCTCGGTAAGTGTGCATTGTTGATCCTACTGTCGTGGCCACTTCTGATAACGATGTTTTGATGATACCTTAGAGCCCCGGTGGCTCGTCGACCGGAAGTGCCGTCAGCGTCTCTGCTGGTTTTTCGCTCGTCGGAATTGGCACTGAGAACGACGGGTCTATCGTGCAGCCTGCCTCGAGGCAAGCCTTGTTTGCCTTGAAGCCGACCCTAGGTCTCATTACTGCGGAGGGCTGTTGGCGGGTGGCGGCGTCGTGCGACACGCCCGGGGCTATGGCTAGGTCTGTTCGAGACGTTGCGCTAGCAACAGAAGCCATGCTAGATGAGAGCACTCGGGCCAAACTACCAGAGGGCGGGTATGGCTCTTTCCTGAATGCTTCTTTCGACGGTATGCGGATTGGGTTCGTCGATCCGGCTCTCTGGCGCTTCCCGCCTGACTTGTGGGTTCCAAGCGATGACGCCAAGGAACAGCACGTAAGTCTGCACTCGCTGCCGCAAACTGCCCAGCCCTAACACGGCTTAACAGGACAAAGCCTATCGGTCAGCAATGAAGCGTGTGGAAGAACTGGGTGCAAAGGTCGTTTACCCCGTGAGCTTGCCATCGTACAAGGAGCTGGAGGTCAATGGTGAATGGATACCTGGAACCGTAAACGGTACGACCTTCCACCATCTTTATGACCTTGTGCTAACTATACGTCAACTGTAGCTTTTGAAAACGTGCAGGCCGCTCAAGACTTCTTCGACGGCTATGTTGATGCCAAATCAAAAATACGCAGTCTTGCTGACGTCATACAATACAACAAGGATCATGCAGACCAGAGTCTGCCCAAAAGTGAGTAGGAGGGAAGATGCAATTCAAACTCGAGCTAAAAGCAGTGCAGATGCTCCTGATCAATCATGGCTCATCGAGGCTGTGGATAAAAAGCCATCTGAAGAAAGGTATAAGAGTGCACTTGCCCATATGGCGGAAATCAGAGACAAAATGGACGTGGCCATGACCGAACATGAGCTTGATAGCGTCCTCGCCCCTATGGACAGTCCTATCTCCTCTCTATCGACTGCATCTGGTAGGTCTTATATCATCGTGATTATTCCACGCTAATTCTTTTCAAAAACAGGTTATCCGATTGCTACAGTCCCCCTAGGCAGGTACCACCTAAAAGGAGAGCCCAGCCGCCCGTTCGGAGTGGCAATTCTTGCGAGGAAAAATCGCGAGGGGGACCTATTCAGGTTCATGGCCGCATTCGAAGCCAACTTCCCGCCCAGAGTGATTCCCGAGCAGGTATTGGCTTCTTCGGCTGTCGCTGTCAAAAGAACGGGCTGCGCCATCTTGTGAGTTTCGTCAAGCCATAAATAGACATGCCACGTGTCGAAGAGAATGAACCCCGTCATGTAGCCGCCTTGTTGATCTACATTTTTTCTTTTGGGGGCAACAGTTCAAACACCATACCTGCTCTATGGTTAGGCACATGCTTGGGCGCATACCGCTATCGTGGGCCAGGGGAAAGGGGAACGGGATCATTGTCAAGCAGCACGAGTCAGTCTGAAATGTATGAATTCTCGTCGCGCTTGTAAATAAATTATTCTAGCACCATATGGTATGTCAGGGCTGGACAAAGGGTGAAATGGCGTACCAGTACCCAAGGATACATTTCTCGTACTCATTGACACTCCAGCCTCCAAGGACAGGCTTGGATAGGACCCCATCGTTTCACCCTACTATTCTCCTGGGGGCCGTGCAGTGAAGATAATAAGTAAGGTATTCTTAACAGCTACCGCTTAATCTAATACATACATACAGGCTCTTCTGCATAGAAAAGAATTGTAGTGGTAAAACATAATAGTAAACCATACGATCTCTGATATCTATGAAGCAGACTTACTCTAAGAAACCTACTCTAACAGCATGAGCAGCAAGGCACAGGGTCTTTGCCAGGACTGAAATTGCTACCATACGCTGAAAGAGCTTCAAGCTTGCTTACAGTCTATTGATACACTATACCCCACCAGGGTAATAAGCCTCAAGGTCTACCTAAGAAGGTAAGCAGCATCTGAGATAATAGATGGAGTTGTCGACCATCTATAAAGGGACGATGTATAATCTCTATAAATCTTCTAAAGAATTATACTGATAGCCCTCCTGGTTCTACTCACTTTATTATTAGATTCTAAGCTCATAAACTCTTAATCTGGAGTATTCTCGAATCTATGGCTCTTAAAGTAGTGGCACTACTAGGTCTATCTCATTAGTGATGACATGGCGGCGATTGGGCTAATCGAGCCTCTTGACAATCTTCGGGGTTCTCAGGACCCCAGCTGGCGTTGCCGAGGTAATGGCCAAAAAGTCCCTTCCGAACACTTTTTCCAGCACATGGGTGTGGTAATGGGTTGAGTTGATGAAGAGACAGGGATAGTTCAATGGTGACCTGTGGGACGTTGGGCCTAGACTTCGGCCGTGGGAATAGTTGACTGGCCGGAACGACTGACTAGGCTACTGAGCTGTGAACTTGAGCTTGATTTGTGTTTCTATGGCTCGGAATAAACAGGAGAAATAACAATGCACTAACCGAAGTTGATACTATTATGGACGGGGGGACTTGAAGCAGTCTTTATGCCCCCAGGAAGCCGTTAGAAGACATACAATACAAAGAATTCAACGGACCATCAAGACCTATTACGTGACACAGCAGGTATATTCGAAGAGAGTTAATCGGAAGGCATAAGCCTTATAAGGTGTGGGCCTTAGAGAGTTCGATTGCTGATCTTTTATAATTAATCATACCAACGTATATGCACCATGTTCAGGGGCGCAAATACTTAAGCATGACTTTCCATCCAGCTCTGAAAGGGATATCACGATTCGTGCTGTATATCTGACTATCCCTACTGTGTCTTATCAGAACTCCTCTCTCTTACCTAAAATTGTTCCTTGATTATCTAAAATTCAAAGGAAAAGGTACATAGCAGGATTTATTTTTTTAGTGAAAATCGGTTGAGAAATAAATAATTGGAAATTCATAATTAATAAGCCATAGGAACATTATACGTAGACTAAGAGTCAACTTTGTCAATCTTACGGTTTGCTTTAACTTCCGGCGGGCTAGATCCTTCAAACTGAAAGACAGGCTATCGCTAACCCGCGTTCAGCGAATTGTTATCGGAATGCTGACCCATCTGGCAAATGCAAAGATATCGTCACTTCTTCGCAATAGCGATACACGCCACCATTTTAAGGACCGTCTCGCCCTTTTCATTCTTGGAGATCCCGTTTCCAGACTGCAACTGCTCCACAATATCTTCGATGGCTTCATCCCACTTGTCCTCATCACTAACACTCCATCCTCTCGGCAAGCTACCCAAGTAACTCCAAGCTAGTTGTGCCCAGCGCTTTAAGTCTTGAATCGGAAGGAAACAGACCTTTTCATAGCAAGTAATGTCTTTGAATCCACCAATTTCGAGGGAGGTTCTGAGATCTGATTCTTGAAACCCTTCCAACGGAAGCAAAATAGGCATAGGCCCTTCTTTGCCCCGTGTGCGCCAATGAGCGTGTTGTAATGCATCTACATGTGGCATAAATGTCCAAATAGAGGCAATAGCAGTGCCGCCAGGCTTCAGCGTACGATAGACCTGCTTAGCGGCTGCATTATGATCCCCTAGGCAGTGAAATGCAAAGCTTGTGAAAGAGTGGGTAAACTTGTCGTCAGGAAAGGTAAGCTCCTGCGCCGACATAACACTTGTATTCACAGGCCACTTCTTAGACTCAGCCAGCGCCTTACACCCTGCCACAAATTGCTCATTGATATCGGTTGCTTCAATATAAATATTGGTCTCTGGTGGAAGTAGTTCCATGATGGTCGCAGTGACCGCCCCCGAACCCGCTGCGTTATCGTGGATAACGTCACCACTGGAGAAGGTCGGAAGTAGAGCCAGACTGTATCTGATGGCGTCTTCGCTTACGTCGCCTTGGAGTTCAGTCAAGTGTTTGGCTTCATATTTTGTGATTTGCTTTGGTTGGAAAGCCATGGCTGTAACAAATGGATGACTCTTCTGAGTATAAGTTTCTGTTGCCGAAGGGCAGACTAGATGTCAAAGAGTTGAAAGTGTCACAGAGGAAAGGTCGATTATAATTTATAGTTGTCAGTGCAGTTATTGTTTCTCATCTTTGCAGCGTGGGTGACCTCATAAACTTGAGGATTGTTCAGTGCCACAGAAGGACATGGACAGACGATCCTTGCGGTGCTTATGCCGCTCTGAAACCATTCCCAATCTGGTCTGCAGCTCGACGCTACTATCTGAATAGGAGCTCGAGTAGGTAAGCACCTTGATTTGATTTGGCAGCGATCCATTTTTATATCAAACGACAACGGCTTAGTTTCTCAAACTACATAGTTTATTCCGTTGCTGATCTGTAGGCCCTTTCTGTCCCGGATATCCATTATCGTCATTGGCCAAAGTTTCTGGCTTTCACGAGAGAGCTACGAGCTACCATATAACACCTTACCAGGCCGTCGCGTGGCATGGTGTACTGTGGTAGGCCCTCTGACGCCTGTTTACCCTGTCGTCGGAAGCGTAGAAAGGTACCTCGCGCCCCCCCTGTTTAGCCAATGTTTGATCATATCGGCGTGCACATCAATCCTTTCTATGACTGACATCAGATAACTGTGTAGTGCGACAGAGTTCGTCCAGGATGCACTCAGTGCCTGCGCACCTCCACCGAATGTCCGGGGTACCGAGACATGACGTCGGCGTGCTTCAGGGACATGACAGCTGCTGTTGCCAAGAAGGTCAAGAGAATAGATGCAAAGAGAGCAGGGATGGAAATTGGAGACAATGATGAGCGCACGGGCTCGCCTGTGAAGCATCCTGCATTTCAAGAAAAGTCTTCTTTGATACGTTTGCGATCCGAAGAGATTCCCCTCCCTGCAAGTTTACAGATCTCTATTGAAGACGTAGCAACAAATTACATTCTCTTTTCTTATAGCAACTCAAGTTCTTTCGTCTATTTAGCGACGGATGATGGCAGATATACAGCAACTATTCTCTTGAACCGAGCTGTATTACTTGCTCCTGCTCTCGCACTACTCTCACGACAAACACGACAGCCCGGAATCTTAGACCAAGCACGCCAGAAATATGTGGAAGCCGTGGTCTCAACCAACCTCGCACTCTCCAACAGAAGTAGTGCGAAGACTGATTCCACGCTCCTCTCGGTTTTGCTCCTCGCACTTTATGAAGCCACCGTCTTTCGAGGCCGCGAACTGCCGACAGGCTGGACTACTCACACTCTGGGTGCAGCTGCGCTTCTCTCGCTTCGAGGATCTGAACAGTTCTATACTCCGCTGGGACGAGCGCTGTTTATGCATGCAGCATCTAGTATTCGCGCGAGTTGTCTACAGCGTAAAAGGTCCGTACCGTCCGTACTGGTGGCCTTCCACTGCCTGATGCCGCCTCAGTCCGAGCAAGTGCGAGACCCTGCCTTTGCAGTCATGCCGATCCTTGACGAGGTAGCCGATTTGTTGAAAGAGTTCTGTGATCCTAGCTTCAAGAGCTCTCAGACGTTCCAAGAATCGGTGGCGGCATTGAATAAAAAGGTCGCTCTTCTAATTGATGTCATGCAAGAAACATGGCCATATGAAGTGGTCGATAAGTCCAAAGAACACAAAACGCATAGATACAGCTCATATCACTCTGCCAGGCATTGGAATATGTTGCGCATGACCAGGATACTTGTCAACGGCATGTTGATTCAACTAGCGGCGGACAACTCATCCTTCATTAAATGCGGTTCTGTCATCTATGGAATAGAGAGCCTTGTGAGCCTATCCGAAGATCTAGCACGAAATATTCTCGCTAGCGTTCCATATTTGCTCAACACTGCTCACCACTCGGTGACTGTTGCGGCACAATGTCTCCTCTGGCCTCTGTATATGGTTGCAAGCTGCCGTCGTATTTCGGTTTACGCGGCGGGTGAAGCCCGACATCAACTGGAGTTGCTCCACCGAGATTTTGGTATTCCCCAAGCCAGGGAAGCGCTCAATATGCCAAAAGAAAGAACTCTGACTGACTGGTATGTATTCACTTATAAAAATGGTTTGTGAAGAGCACTGACTGTATTAGGCTACATTTATGCTACTTGTGATACAGCAAATGACCAGATCACACTATAGAGAGTATATTCAATTGAATCAATGAACTATTATCTCCTAAGTTCTCCAATGTGAAGGAGGTATACTTCGAAAGGTGCAAGCCCTCAAGTAGTGACGACCAGAATGAGTAAAGCATAGTTCGATAGCACGCAGGGAGGTCTGCGCCCCATCTCCCCGGCGATCTCTTCTGCGCTCTCTTTTCTCCTGCGAGGTTAGATCAAGTCGCGAAGATACAATTCCAGTCATCTGTGTATGGAAAGTTGAAGAAGCAATTCGAGTATTCCAACTTGCCCGGGTTAAAAGGGTCAAAGTCGGACAGGGTAGGAACTTCGGGATCGGAAATTTGGCATTCCTTGGGAATGTCGACCAATACCCCGTCGCATTTGGAATTACTTAGGATCGGCGATATACAGTCGAAATTGTTGCGCAAAGAGGTATCGTAGTCGACGATGTATTTCTTGAGGTCGTTGATCTCGCTCGATGACAGCGGAAAGAAAACTGTTGCAATCCCACCAGACTCCTTTCCAAGGCAAAGGCAGTTCTAACAAATCACATGGTCAGTTCGCAGCTCTGGACAGGATATACGTGGCGGTGCTCTCGTGGACCGAAACTTGTATGGGATAAATAAATGGCTTGAGGAGCGATGACTACTTGAGACACGAGAAAAGGAGTCTAGGGGAAATGGCTCGATATATACTCACGTTCTGGTACCAAATGCATCCGCCGAGTCGGCCGCAGATATCTTGGTTCATCTTATAGGACCTTGGCGGAGCGAGCGGGATATCAGGGTCACTCTATGAGATCAGAGTTAGTCTCGAGAGGCATGCCAACGGTCGCTGAATGCTCGGAGAGGAGCGAAATGGGCACCTACCGTATTACGACAACTTAGATAGGGTGATTCGGACTGTCAAGGATCAAAGTCAGCCAAGAGATCTCGGTTAATAAAGGCAGATGAAGAACACTAAACCCACATTCCCGTAAAGCAATCGGTACTTGGCCTTGTTGCCTGATCTCATAGCCCTGACTGTCGCGAATTCGACCTGCCAAAATGGTGAGCAAAAGCATGGAAGCAAATTCTGTTCTTCCACCGGCACTTACAAACTTAATTTGGGTGTTGTCGATATAGGACTCCACTAGCGGATCAACAATCTCCTTGCTCAGCCATCTACCGTCCCTGAAGACATCGGAGACATAGTCTTCGTTGCTTCCGTCGTAGCCTTTAGGAGCCACGCCGTCAAAGATACTGTTGACAGAGGAATTCAAGCCGCCGACGATGCCCCTGAACATGGCCCCGTAGGCTTGTTCAAATTCTTTTTCAAGATCATCCGGGCTGACCAAATTGCTGAGCCCATCCGAGTTGGCAGCGACCTGCGTCACGATGCCGGCAGCAAACGTTAAGGGATTGGCAGCAGTCCCGAACCACTGGCCGACGGGGGCGTTGGGAAATTTGGCGCCTATAGTACCAGAGATGCCCGCCAGCGAGGTAAGAAATCCGACTAAGAAATTTAGAATAAGCGCATTATCGTCCTTGGGCGGTGTTCCGTAAGCGGCAACGATGTCCTTGATGCCTTCCGCAAGATTATCTATTCCGTTAGTGACCAAGCCAGCCCAGATCTGTTCAAAGGCACTGTAGAGCCACCCGATGGAAACATGGACATAAAATGCCTGGTTGGGACTGTAGGAAGTACAGGGGGTGCTCAGGGGACCAGGGCAGTTTCCGGTGTGGATGTGGTCACAGTCGTACGTCGACCCGCCTTGAGAACCACCATTGAGGACGGAGCTGAAGAATTTGTCGGACCAATGAGATGCCCCAGCTTGACTGAGGAAGGTTCCAAGCCAATATCCGGCGTCGCTGTTTGTCCAAGTATCCTTGATAACAGAGGGATCGGTTGAGTTGAAATTCAGGCCGCACACAACGCCGGTGCCAGGGTGATCGTGAGATCCGCCATCGCCACCAGAATCTCCCGGGACATCGGGCAGAGAACCGTCAAAACTCTCATCGTCTCCAGTGATGTCTTTCAGCCCGCATCCCGGCGCCAGGGACGTGTGTGCTAGATTGTTGAAAGTACCGCTGATGAAGTGCTCGTCTGCGTGTCCGTCTCCATCAAGATCGGGGTAGTACAGACAGGTACCCGCAGACAGGCCATCGTAGGCTTTTTGGGTTTGCTCGCGCCAATAAAAATAAGATCCTGCCAGCTGACTACGATCTTCAGGACCTCCGTTGTACCTTGAGACATCGTTAGGAATAAGGGCGTATCATGAGATTGATGGCATTACTTACCACACATAGGTATCGCCATTGAACTTGTCAATCCAGATCATATCGTCGAGACCGTCGCCATTGACGTCCGTCCAGCGCAAATTGGCACGGTCCTTATCTTTGGGAGCGAACTTTATCTGGCCAACATCTGTAAAACTCCCATCATTGTTGTGGAGGAACCCCGTTACGCGACCGGCGGGCTCAATACACAGATAGTCGGCACGTTTGTTGCCCGTGAGGTCGGCAAAGCGCACAGCCACTGCCAGGGTATGTCAGCTAAAGATTGAAGTGATCGGTGAAAGCAGTTTCTTACTCACAGTCGAAGATGCCGAGCCCTCTCTTCTGAGAACAAGTGGGCCCGGAGACGCTGTGCTGAGACCAACCCCATTGACCAGTCTGGGGATAATCGTTGATGAACACCTCGATAGCACCGCTGTCAGGATCCACATATATGATATCGCAGTCATTATCGCCATCCCAGTCGGCCAGGTGAAGATCCCGTCGATTCATGTTCCGTGGTGGAGTGAATATCGTGCCCATTGGCTCCCAATAACCTTCGGGGTCTGAATCAGAGATGTACTTCTTGCCGCGGTTGGCGTAAAGTACCATTTCTCCTGTGGACCAAGTCCATATGTAGTCGTCCCGGCCATCGGCGTGGCCCATCATATTGCAGTATTTGTCGCCATCAGCCTTCAGCTTCGTTCCGCCACTCCCAAGATTCTTCCACACACGCATCTGGAAGCGGTGCTTTCCATCGTCGAGGGCTTCATGTTGCATAAAAACGTAGTCCTGCTTTCCCAGGTTTCCAAAGGCCGAGGGTTCTCCGTAGATGCGGGCAAAGAAAATACGGTCCCGAAGGTAGGATTCTTCATCGGTTGCATATACTGCTACGCCCAGGTGAGTGTACCCCGAGGACTGGCCATTGAGAAATCCCTGTCGCCAAGCCACATTAAGGCCATCTCCTAGGGAGCCTTGTTGACAGCTTCGAGCGTTGGTCCAAGTTTCGGTCTCGCCAACGGTGCTTACCCAAAGCCAGTCATCACGGCCCTGATGCGTTGTTAGCGGAGGAGGTTCATGGAACTGGATAGTCCTTCACTTACATCGCCATTGATGTCCTCGAACCGAACGCCCCGAATATCACCTTTACCCTTGGCCTGAAATCGAAGCCCTAGAGACTGCCAGTACTCCGGGGTATCGAGCGTTCCACCATTTCTCCAGAAATGAACATTGCCAGTGTCGTCAATGATGCCGTAGTCGCCGCGGCCATCGCCATCAATATCGCCGAGTACAACGCGATCTTGTGCATAACCCTCGTTATTCTTGATCAAAGCTGTGTCACTAACACGTTTGAAAGAAGGCGGTTTACCCGCTGCGCGATTCCCATCCCCTTGATTGATGGATAGGTAAGCGTTTCCATTACCATCAATGCAAACGATATCATCAAGCCCGTCGGCATTCATGTCAATGAAGTGCAGGCCACGGGGAATACAGTAGAGGTCGGGATTCATGTTTGCAATGTTAGTGAAGTGTCCTTGCCCATCGGCCGAGTTGCTCCTATTACGCATTAGTCGGAGCTTTCAACGAGATTATACATGAACGCCCAGCTGAAAGTCTCACCAAACAACGAATTCAGGGTAAGGACCCGTTGTGTCGAGCCAAGCGACGAGATCATCGTAATCCCGAGAGAAAAGACGGGCAAAGCGCCATTGGTCACGATCCCAATTACTGTCCCAAGTGAATATGACCTAGATTTCAAGACGCCTGATCAGCCAAAGTACTCTGGACGCCTCATGAAGACTGTTCCAACTTACATCCATTCCTTGGGACTTGTGATAGTAGATACCGTCATCCTCGCCCACACCGCGCTGCGTCAGTCCACCGGCATCTGTGCCTGTACCTGCGAACTTATCACAGACAGTAGTAGTCGATTGATCGAAATCGCCTGGTACCACTAACCTCCCGTCGGAAGCTGCCTGATTAATAGCTTTGTAGAAGACAGCGGCCATCTTCTTGTGTCCAGAATCCTATACCTAGTTAACAAATCTAAGTTCAGACCGTTGTCCTCGGATAGAGAAATAACGCACGTTCGGATGTATGTGGACAGCTTCACTTGGGTCGAAATCGGCGTTGAAGTCCCACCAATCGAGCTCCATTTCTGCCAGGTAGACACATTTGCCCTCCCCTGATCGTTGAGTGACAACGTCACGATATTTCTGGTTGATCGTAAGGCGGTTGACAGAGCCAATCGAGTCAGTCGTTGGAATGAGGGTGGAAACCATGATACACGTGTCTGCCATCCCAGCAGCTTCCCAGAGATCGTTCAGAATGTCATTTAGGCGGCTCCCCGCTCCATTGGGGTCAACATTTCCGTTGGCATCATTTGTCCCGGCGTTAATTATCACGACATTGGGCTAAATCAGACAGGAACAGTCAGAGTCGTCGTTATTGGATACAATGTTACAGAGCAGAGGGAGCTCGCCTTATAACCTGTCGAGTGAGGAACTCGGGCTCGCACTTGAGTCAAGACATCTCCAGGTACTGCCTCGTCTATGATAATTGGAATCAGCATCTGCCGTTGAAAGACATCAGAAGAGCAGGGAGAACCTCGATAGATATGCAGAAGTTCTCTTATGGACCGGGTCTTTGCCTGGAATATTCTGAAATATGGCCAACATAGGTAAGGATGAATTTCGAAAGTTGCTTACGCTCCTGTGAAGGGTTTTAGCAGAGAGTTACTCCTCGACCTGAGAGAAAGTATTTACCCAGTCCTTCATGGTGCCACTATGTAAACTACCCACCATGTCAACATCCCAGCCATCGAGGCGCAAAGCATCTCTTAAAGGCTTCCGCAAACTAGTATACATGGCATCGTTAGCCTAGGGTCTTAGAAGATGACTGGAAATCCGTTACCCGTTGTGCGTGCTAGATCCCACACCACTCATAATCGAGGCTCCGAGAGGCAGTATTCTCAGGGGCACTTTGTCTGCCCGCTTGTAGCCACTGGTAACAAAGCTATCTAAGAGCTCACTGCTGTTGCTGGGTAAGTAATTTCTTGCGCCGGTTGCGGGCCATGCCGACACGCCATCCGGCATGCAAGCGAAGACCGCAGCGGCCAGCAGACAAGTCTTTGCAAACTGCTTCATGCTGCCTTATCCTGTTGATCGCCGCTTCATATGCTCATACTTTTCAAATGCAGACCGTGGCTTTTATATTCACAAGTTCAGTCCTTGAAGCGTTCATGAAAGCCCTCGCGGTTAGCGGCATAGGATTCGAAGCACTTCTACCTAGGCACACACTGAGAGCAATACGCATCCTAAGCGTTGAGGATCGTGTGATCCCGGGAATTCTATACGCATCTTTCGCACTATCGGTCGATAAGCATCCTACGTGCTTGTGTCTAGTTACAATAGCAGCATCATAACCTGCCCATTGTAAATTCTCTAGGCCCTTTCATAACAGATATTTTGCCGTGTACCCAAATCATAGGCAGTGTATCAAATTAGCACTTAATTCAGTACCATTAACTTTGTTACGAGTGCCCGTTTGAAGGTGTTGTTGGTGTTCCCCTAGAATTCAATGCTACCCTATTGGAGCCCCTAACTGTGACCGTCCGGCACTATTGGAATCGCAAATGAGCCCCCACACTGTTGAATCGTTCTCCAGAAGTGAGCACCTGCTCATCTAGGTATGATGTTTCTCTCAAAGCAGGCGCTGGTGACTCGATTATGTTGTATTATAACTATGCGATTGCTAATACGCCGATGGTGATAAAAAAACGTTAACCGTGTGACAGGTGGATCATATGATAATATTGACTTGGGGGTGGAGGGCCTACCCACTTGCAGTTTAATTTCGTGGGTTAAAGTCTACATACGGCTAGGAATTGTATCAATCCCTGCCTTTATAGAACCAAATCCCTTTCAAGTTGACTCTTGGCAACTCCTACAGGATCGTGCGCAACCAACGTCCCTTCTAAACTCCTTCAGCAAAGTGTAGTTACATTATAAGTTTCCTAGCTTGATTTTGTACTCCCGTTACACAAAGCTTGTATCGAAGACATCGGCTACACCGAATGCCGGTGGTTGTATTGTTTCCAAATAGAGTGATAACATACTTCTCTTCGAAGGATAGAACTTCTAAAGCCTTAAAGAAGTTCAGTCGTCAATGTCTTGAGCCCCTCTTTCTGATATTCTCTCATCTGGCTCAAGTTCTAGAAAAGTATTATTCTAGTCAGCCATACTGTCAAAAGCTAAGCGCTGGGGTAAAGGCACCAGGATTTTTAGCGCCGCTGGCCCACTTTTTCTGAGTATACTTAATCACAAATAGACTTTCAACCGAGAGGCTTGTCGTCTACTGGCCCGTGATGGTAATGTCACCGCCAGGTGTAGGTGCGGTGCAGGGGTCTCGACCTGGATCGAGCTGCATGCCTGAGATTTAGGCTCCTAGATCCCAAAGACCGGGTAAGGCGGCTCGGGTGGCCAGAAAGCGGCTCGGACACTTAAGACTTATCAATCATTGGCATGCCAACTTACAAGAGACCAGACCAATCACGTATCTACAAATCTATGGCCGGCTGAAAAGAAGGAGCAGATTCTATTACCGTGCTTGTCTTGCTTGTCTTGCTTGTGTCGTAGCTTGATCACTCAGTCGTATTTGAGATGTGGCTTGCTGAGTTCGAGCCGCTTTTTCGATTCTACAATCTTGATGACGAGGAGCAAGGATAAGCCGTCCGCAAGGTCTGAAATGAAGCTCCGACGGTCATGGAAATCGCCATAAATTTTGTTACGGTGGGGGGCTGTTAGATGAGGAATGAGAGCAACAAGCTAGCTGCGTCTCGCGGAGATGTAATCGATTTTGCATGGCGATTTTTATGCTACCTGATGGCTGCTATTCTGTACTTCAACCGGCTATGCCAATGCATTTAGATACATTAAAACAGCACTTGACTCCAAAGGCCCTCCTGATCAACACCTTGTTGGACTGTGGGAGTTAAGGTCCAGTCTATGCAATGAGACGCCGTCCACACCCACAAAAATGCAAGACCTCAAGCCATTAGGCCAAGTATACGTAAGTTCCACCTTCTCTCTCAATGTAATCCTTCTCAATGAGCCTGTGGCGGGAAGTCAGTCAATGTGGTCCTGTACATCAAAGGATGGGAATGGGCACATACTTCTCAATGTTCTGCTTGATGTCGGCGGGATCCATGGCTCCTCTGCTCTTGGTCTGGTTGATCACCTCAGCCACTAGCTGAGAATGCGTCATTGACTTTCTGCTCTTCATGATCCGCACAATCGCAGCTTGAGTCTCAAATTGCCTGTCCGCAGCGACCCGCTGGTGGGTCTCCTGGTTCTCCTCCTTGGTCTCCTTGAGTTGGATCTGGTTGATCTTGACCCGGTACTTGGGGTCAGTGAAGGTCTTGTTGACGGTAAATGTGTCTGTCTTCTTGACGTCTCTGCCTTTCGGATGCTTCTGTAGCACGCGAACCTTGCCGCAAGCCAGGGACTGCAGAGTACGCTCGAGTTCAGATCCGCTTAGGCCAGTCGCTTGCGCAATTTGCTCATAGCTCAGGACTTCTTCTGGCCCTGCCTGATTAAAAAGCACGAGTATAACGGCTTGGAAGGCGCTGACGAGTAACTCTTTCGGGCCCTTGTTGAAGACCGCCTTGACCACACAATGCGCAAGGTTGTGCTTCCACGTGAGCCGGCGACCTGTGTGCTTATTTCTGTAGTAGCTGTCGAACTTCTCGATCTGCTCCGCCACATCTGGAGGCAGGACCATCTTGGTGTCTGCATACGTCGGCCAAGCTGCCGCGGACAGAATACTGACTGTGAGATCAACGTTGCTCTTAGCCTGACCAGTACCTTCCCGCCACTGCTTGTAGGAAGCCATCTCATCCTTGGCTAGCTCCTGATCTTTGAACATTTGTTCGAGGTTGTGGGTGAAGCTAGCACCACACTCGCTCTTCAATTTCGTGAGCATATTGCGCTCGGCATCTTGGCTTGCACTTCTGCCCATCAGCAGTCGTCGGGCAAGGTCTTTCTTGTAGAAAGCTTCAAATACATCCTTTCCTTCAATGAATCGGAAAAGCTCAAGACCTTGATCGAGCTGGCGGTCGAGTTCGGCGTCCTCATCGGCGGTGCTCGCTTGTCCACTTTGCTCCGCAGCTGCTCGATCTTGAGCATCTGAGAGAAGGCTCTTCGGCAAAGTCTTTAGGCCTCCCCTCAGCAGCATGTCGATGTACTTCGCAATCATCTCGCCAACCTTGGAAGTTCCTGTACCCCACGAGGCAGCAATCTTCCTGTCGTTGATGAAGTTGCCGAATGCTTCTCGCAAGCCATAGGTGAAGTCCTCGTCTTTGTTGAAGGCATCTCGGATCATGATGTCCAGAGTTCTTCGGAGTTCCAGCAAGCGAACTACCATCTCATCCCCACGAGCAGTGTCGTTAACAATCTCTGAGCCCGCTTGCCTGATATAACTCTCCCACGGACTCCTTAGCTTCTTCTGAATACCTGAAAGTCGTAGAAGCTCGTACAACGCCTTCATTGACTCGACGTCGTTTGCATCCAACAGCTTCGCAACGCTACTGCTATCCAACAGCTTGGACGAATATTTCCCTGTCAATATCGCGCGGGCATCATCGAGGAGTTGCCTCTTTGTCGTGCTGTCAAAATTAAAGGCGTTGCAACGGAAGTCTTCCTCCCTAAGAAGTTTCTCGCACGCTCTGATGTAATCTTTCAGGCTGTGGCCAGAGCTGCGTTCCTCAGCAAAGTTCTCGAAATACTCGTTTGACTCTCGTAGGAAGCGCGGCTCGAACGACTTGAGGTATACATTGAATATGTGAAGCATGGTGACAGAGTCGCGCAATAATGGTGAGTCGAACCTGCTGTCTCCACGCCGGTCATACTCCACAAGCTCGCACATGCCCGCTAAGACCTTGGTACCTGGAGCACCTTCATCCGTCTCCTTGATCTTCGTCACGAATACCATACGACGAAACTGAGTGATCGCCATATCATTGATTTGAGGTAGGGTCTTGCTGTTAAGCAGAAAAGACCGATCAAGCCAGCTGAAGGTAGAGCGTATGATGACCTGAGACGAGGTTAGTTTTGGTTCTCAAGGGCACTGACAGGGAGATTTACAGATTGTGCGTTCCAGGTCTTCCAGTGCTTGTACACACTCCTCAACATGTCTACGTTCGAGTTGCCCCCATCTGCCTTGATCTTCTGCAGCACTTCCCCATGCAAGTGGTCCTCGCATCGTTGTCGTAGCATGTCATAGACCTTCTCCGCCTGGCCACTCCTACATAAATCCTCGACACCTCGGTATAACCTCTCCAACGGCTGGCGTGGTTGTGAGGAGGAGAAGATGGCGGTCAGAGCTGTATCCAACTCGGCCCATGTCCGCCTGTAGTAGTCCTCGACATCTTGTGCTCGTGAGGTCGTGCGAAGGTTCTTGATGACAAACTTCTTCGCCCCAGTGTGCGGCTGGAAGGCAGACGCCCGCTTGGTGAGATCGATGATCTCTGGGCGCTTGCCCTGCACCTTTGCGCTCATAGCGGCAGTGGTGGCAGAGCTCCCTCGGCCAAAACACGAGCCAAGGTCGCCGGATCGGGCACGCTTTGGATCGGGGGCGGCAGACGGCCACGGGGCGAGGGGGTTAGAGTCGACGCGGGGCCGGCGCCTGCTGGCCGAGGGCGGAGAATAGGGAGAGGAGGGCGTGCCTTCACCGAAGGGGTGGTTGGAGGTCGACTGCATGGACCTTGTGAGGTCCTGCAACAAAGCTGTTACACAGACCTCGAAACGAAGCTTGGGGGGGATGGTCGTCGGCTATTCGGTGAGTTGCAATGCTGAAATGGTCGGGGTTGCGGCGGATATCTGGAAACGGCTTGTGTCACAACCTCCAGGCGATCAGTGCTCTGGAGGGGATGTAGTGGGCTGGTTCTCGGTAGAAGGAAGGTCGGGTATGTTGTTGAATCAGGAATCAAGAGTTGCAGAGTCATCTATCAAGCCAGACTGTCGAAGATGTGAGGTGAGGTAATGAGGTTGAGACCGGCAGTGGTGCATTGCAGGTGGGGAGCTGGGGAAGCATTAACGGAGTTAAACTGCCCATTCCCGACGCGGTCGATAAGCATCACTGAATCGTCAAGCGCGCTGCTTTTTCAGGCTTATCTCACCCAGCTTCGCACGCCACACCCTGCTACCAACCCCACCATGACACCGGCAATTTGGGACCGTGCACATCCCTATTCGTATTAGGAGAAGCAGATACATCATGGAAGACGATGCTATCAAATGCCATGCTGATGTTACATGCTCACATTGTATCAGACTAGCCTATTATACACTATTGATCCATCATAATTACCTTCTTTAGAATATCATACAGTTGTCTTGGATCTGTCTCAGGCTTCGTGGACCTTGTGAGGTCAACTAGCTAGGTGCTCTCACCCTTTCTTTCTCTCTCTCTCTCTCTCTTCTCATCTTAGCAACTGTCAACCGGATACAATCCCCGGGAACTCCACTGAGGAATTAGACAGGTCTTAAGCATATGCTGCCCAGCCTGAAGATGACATTAGCCTGCGAGCGTATGTCTTGGAGAATGTAGAGGATACGTACCAGAATAGAGCACTGCCAAATGCTTTTCGTCCGTGGCTTGGTTGATGAGGTCGTTCACTGTAGCCGTCACGCTCAGTGTCTTTGACAGCTTCTTTTGAACAACCTCCAGAGCTCTGTCCGCCTCTGATGGCTCGTTGACCGCCTTCTTGCTCTCAATCTCGGTATGCTCGTCTCCAACGCCCCCTTCGTCTGTTCTCCTCGCATCCTGCAACTTCGCCATACGCACCGGAGATATAGACCACGTGTACAAGGGGTCGTAGCGTAAGACATCCAGGATAGTCATGATGGAGTAAGTCTCTTCCCTCATGGCGTCAAGCGCAAACTCGCAGCACCTTCTGAACACTCCCTCCGTCTTCGTTATGCCCATACCATCCACAATGTCCCTGGTCATCCGGAAAGGTACAAGCTCAGGGACCGGAAGCACTCGACCCATCTCGAATGCTACTCCGAGGTCAATATGCACAACTTCCCCATTCTTGGTGTCGAGAAGAATGTTGTGACCGTGCCTGTCCCCAAGGCCCAACACGTGGCCGAGCATGGAAATGGCCGCTGTACTTCTTGTGTAAGCAAGCCTCTTGACGTACCATTCATCCGGATCGGGGAAATTCTCCATGAAGAAATACTTCATCACAGGATGGAATTTGTCCGTAACCTTACGGTATGTGCTGATTCGCGTTTCCAGAGGCTTAGATTGCACCGCGGAAATCTCCTTACGACACTGCGATCCCTTTAAGTCCTTCGGGTAGTATCGTTCATGGGCGGGCATTAGGTACTCATGCAAGGGAATGGTGTCGGAGACGAACTCGATTAGCCCTGAGGCAGAAGTAAGTGGCAATACCTTGTACGTCCTGATTCCTAGATTGCGCTGTCTTGTCGTTCTGTGCAACTTGAACACCTCGGAAACGGCTGCAAACACCTGTTCCATGATTGCGTCCTGTCGGAGATCGTCATTACCCCCCTTAACAAGCTGCCTGAAACGCTGTCCATTGCTCCCTACCGCGGTTATGATCTTTGGGGCGCTGACGCCCGAGGCAATGGACATTATAGGCTCAAGCTTCATCATAGTCGGAACATTGGAATAGTCCCGATCGCTCGAAAGCTCGATTTGCATTGTTGGCGGTGGTATTTGATATTTTGTCAGGGACGCAGCCAGGTTCTGCCCAGCAGTCGAATCTTTTATGGCCGATTTATGGCCAGCTTTATACTTGTTCGGATCTCTTTCCATCGCGAGCTGGTGATAATATCTGCTAGTTCGGTCGATCGCAGTCCATATGAGTGCCCTTGATGGATTCTTTATGATCTGTTGAGACACCTTCTCTGTTGCTTTCTGTCGGAGGACGGCCACATCATCATCTTTATTGGCTCGGGATTTTACACCTGACCATATCTGATACATGCCGTGATACGGGTGGTCTATACAGATGCGTAAGACCAAGTTTATAAGTAGCTTCTGGAACATATTCGACTGATCCTGGAGACGAGAGGTGAGCTGGTTCATTAGAGGAGCCAACTTTCTAGTGGGAACTCTCTCTAGATGTTTTCTCACGACCTCATTTGTCGCATCTTCATCTGAATGTTCCAGCCACAGAGCCGTAAATCGCAATGCATCATTGTTGTGTTCGTCTGAGGCAGCCAGTGACAAAAGATAATTCTCCAAGCTGAGCTTCACGAATTCGCTTCGAAGGCGCTCTGTCCGAGATAACTCCGCTTGGTCGAGATCTAAGACCTGCCTGGCCTTACCAAGGTGGTTATTATATTTATGCTTCTGCTGCGTATTGTGCTCCTTGGCAATCATATTCCTCAACTGAGCCACCTCATCGCTCTTCTTTTGCTTTATGGTCTGGAGGCGAGCGAGATGTGCGAGACCGTCTGGATTCTGGAGTTCCTGGTCACAAAATAGTGCGAACTGGTGGAATACTCGACCAGCGTCTTTTCCTTCAATCTTCCCTTTGAGATCCTTGAGGGCTGGCTCCAAATACTTCTTCTGTATATTGTCCGGACTTTCGAGTTTTGCCACAGAAACTTGGTAACCGGCCTTGGAGAGCAAATCTGAGCGACTGACTGGAACACTCTGCTTCTTCAGGATCGACTCCTTGTCAATATTTTGCAGCATTCGTATGGATGGTATCATTTCTCCATGGTCCCAAAGCGAGTTTGCCACCTCGATATTGATGGCTGCATCCACATAGAGCCCTGCTTCTTCGCTCGATTCTATCAAATCCGTCAGAGATGTGGATAAATTCAGTGACTCCTGGGTGGCATTGTGGACGCGATAAATGCTCGATGACAGTAACATGGAACGGATCTCAACCAAGCGGCTTTGCGCCCATGTTACTTTACAGCTGTTGCGTAGTAGGTCTTTCTGGGTAAACATGCTGAGGGTCGTCTCTCGACATGAGAGAACCTGGCTGATATCGGCGTATCTGCTTTTGTTAGCCATGACGAGACGCACAAGATGAACACACTTGCCTTCCACTCATCATCCACTTAGATCGTTGCTCAAACTTTGAAAGCAAAGAGTTCAACTCCAGAGGGCCACTGACGCTAAGTACGTCATCTAGCTCCGTAAGAACAGCCAAGGTAGCGAGTTGATTCCGCAGATTTGGTGCATTAAGGCTTTCTTTAGTTAGATGTGAGATTGTGCTGGCCAAGCCGTCGTGCACTGCTTTCCGTGCTGACATGATATCAACAGCCTTATGAAATGATTGGTATGTTTTATATTCAGTCACGGAGTGATTTTCTGAAGCCGGTGGGACTGGGAGGTTCCACATCTCAAGCCTTCGGGCAGTCGTGAACGTTGTGTCCAACGAAGACGAGTTTTGTTCGAGCGCTTGTTGCGACTGGAGCAGTGCATGAGAGATTCCGAATAGCCCTAGACTACTAAGAGCATGAACTAGAGACTTGCCATCTCCTTCAGAGGCATAATCTCTTCGCCTGATATGGCTGTCGTACTGCGCTCCTCGAAACGCAAGTAACTTCGCACCATCATTCTCGTATTCAAGTCGTGCTATGACGTTTTCAAGAGACGAGACATGATTGAGACCATAATAGGCATCTGGGTCGTCGATGTTTTCAAAAATGCCCAGGAGGATTTCTGCGGAATCTTCCATGTCTCTGATCGCTGATGATCGGCGAGGCGCTCGAGATGATTCAGAAAATGCCAGCTCAGTGAACAGTAACGCAACTTTGAACATCCCGCACTTTGTTGCAGCTGCTGATGCAGCAGAAAAGTCAATGTCTAGCCAGTGCAACCTGTCTATGATTGACGTCTCATTTGGCATTGGCTGATTTCTCAAATAGAGTATCGTGTTGATGAGTAATTTGATATTGTCCTTTGCAGATGGTGCTTTTGACTTGATCCATCGCTTGATGGCATCAGAAAGATCTCTCTTCACCGTCTGGTGTTTGTCGAGTTGCAGCAGCAGAACCAAATGGACAATGAAAGGAAGTGCCTCCTCTGCAAAGCCTTTCACTTCTGTAAGAATAGGTGACAGAACGCTCAAAATCACATCCTCTTCAAGAGATTGCGCAAGGTAAACTCCAAGATCCCGCGCCCAAGACGTCTGCTCAATGTGACCAGCAGCATATGCTTGTAGCTCTCCAGGGCTTAGTTCGAAGTAGTCAGACGGAGGCGTCCTATACTTGACCCAGTCGGAGGACACACAGAGAGTCTCGGACAGGCTTCTCTGGCAGGCCACATGGAGATCGTTATTCTCTTGTCCAGCGGCATCAGTTACAATATTTCTCAGTGCTGACTCCGCTAAACCAGCGGTAAACGAATCATCTTCCTTCGTAAGAGCTTCTAGAAGATTGAGAAGACCCTGTTCAGAGCCGCCATCCCCGGCCGTGATTTTTCGATATCGCGTGAGGAGTGATTCCCTCAAGAGGTCAGTGTGAACATCTCCTGAAGAAGCGAATGCTCTGCCCACAACCCTTCCAGCCCAGGTCAGATATTCTTTACTTAAATTCTGTGCCCGGCAGCTCTTCCAAACAACTGTGCCATGTAACAACGCGTCCTCATCGAGCTCAATTATGTCATTCCTCGTGGATACTGGACCGTTGAAGTCACCACAAAGCATCCCAAGGACAAGGTTGCGAGCGGAATCATTGAGTAACTGGTCCCCTCTTTCGCCGTCTTTCAATATTTCGAGGAGGAGATTACTCTCGTGTGTACCTTTCTCGGCATTTCCGGAAGAGCGTATATGGGATGCTGACAGAGTTATTGATCTGAATGACGATCGTTGGACCTCATCGATGAACGCAGGTGACTCGTATTGGGCAAGATACTTGGCAAACCAAGTATGAAATTGCTGTGCCTTGCTCATAGTTGCCCGGAACTGGCTTTCCTGTGTTGTGCTTGCTTGACTCGACTCAAGAAACATCCTGAGGCTAGCCAAGGCAGAGATGGCATATCCTGCAAGGAAGGAGGGCATCTGTGTCAAATGCGGCGAGCCCTTCTCTATCAAATACCGAGTAATGCCAAGAGCATCATCCGCGCATTCGACGTCTCGAATGAACGGTCGGACAGAATGCAATAGCATCTCTAACGGGTAAGACATCGTGGCCTGCTGGCCAGCGAGACAAATAAGAATCCTGACCTTTCGTATAACAGAGCAAGCATGTTGAGGACCGAGTGCTAGATGTACGGTGTTCAGTAATTTGCGAGCCACAGATACGACCAAAGGGGGTGTCCACAGTGTTGGCATTTCGTACTCCGTCCGACTGCACAGATGCGCGATTTCTCTGGTCAGGTATTTCGCTCTGAACATCGGTTGTTGATTGGCCGGAAGCTCTACAGGAGAGTGACCATATCTCTTGATCTCATCCATGATGTCTGCTGCGTACGAGAGATTTGCGTCCTTCCGGAATGTCTCCTCAATGGGATCTTCTTGATCAATCGAGTCGAAGAATATAGCAATGATATCGGCAAAGTGCAGGTAAATGGACTCAAAGTAAGGGTCTTTGCCCAGAAGTTTTCTAACTCGAGCCTCTCCAGTAGCCTGATCCTTGCGTTTCGTACTGATGTCGTAAGCAATACAATATGCTAAGATCTTAGAAAACCCTTGTTGTATCATGTTGACAGGAGTTAGATGGAGTCTCTCTGCTAGCGCTGTTGCTTCATTCTCTTGGCCACGCATCATCATGAGCGCGGTTGCTTCTGTCTGTGCCACTTTCAGTAACTCGTCAAGACTAGAGAACCCGAAAATTGCATGGGGAATGTCCTCGAGAACATCACCATCTAACCAGGTATATAACAGCTGTGGCGCGAATATTTTGAAAAGGTCGCGTGGTGACTTCAACGATCTCATCCGCGAAATCTTCTCGAGACAATGAGTGGCGTAAGGAGCACTACTATTGATCTTGCCTGGGGTCTCGAAAATATGATAGACACAACGCCGAAGTAGAGTTGAGCAGTTACAAGCAAGGTCTGCCAGAACAAACATCCGAAAAGCGATGCCTTCCATGGAATCAGGATCAGCAGGAAGGCTGTTCAGAACATCCAAGAAGATAGCTTCATGGGTGTTGAGCACAAAGAGCTCAAAAATTCTTTGAAGATGAATTCCAACTGCGAATTTGACCAATATTGCGCCGTTTGAGAGAATGGAGAGCAGTGACGAGCGACAAGACGGCAGCGTTTGGGATGTCGCTGTAGCGTATCCCGAATTGAGTTCCAGTAGCCTGTACAATAGCCCTGAGAAGGACACTTGAGCCGTTGGGGAGAGAAAGTTCATTGGGAGTGACTTATTCACAAGGTATGTGTATAAATCCCCAACCATGCTTGAAAGTTCGCCTTTGTCATCTAACCAGACTGGAGCCAGACCTTCAAGCATATCGACACAAGTGCATAGAGCGACTTCACAAGTCGAAAACTCTGACATGCCGATAATCTCTCCAATCATCTCGACAAATCTCAACGCGTCGTCGGAATTGATGGTGATATCTGAGGAGAAGATTTCACGTAAGAAAGCTCGACAGAGAAGAAAGTCTTGATGCGAAAGGGCAAGTATTTGGTTCACAAAATCCCCGGGAAGAAGCCCTATTTGCTTATGGTCTTTACGAAAAGCAGATAGCAAGTGTAGCCTCTGTTTCGTGTCCTCGTTGAAGGCTTCT